TTTTTTTTTTTTTTCATATTTTGTAGTAGTAATTTGGGGATTCGCTGGAATAATCCTAATTTCTGTCGGTGGCTCGAAGTTTCTCCTCGACAGCCTCCTCGGAGGCCTCCGACAGATCCGTTGCTTGTATGTACTTTTGCACACCAACCAGCGATTTTTTCAGAGCGTCGAAAGAACTCGAGTACAACATCTTCTTCTTGACTTTAGCCGTGTCGGGACACCACGACATCAAAAACAACTTTTGTTTCTTGGAAGCCTGATAGAATATACAAATATAAATAATATAAATTTTGTTTTGCGTGTACTATTTTACGCTATCTCGCAAAACTGCTACGGAAAATAAATTTACCTCGGATGTACCCTGACACTGATGAGTGTATTCAAAATCGAAGAGACCGTAACGGCATTCCCCGGCACCACCTTTCTGCAAATCTTCGAGGAAGGCGTCATAAGCTGCGTCGCGAGGTCCGATGACTTCGACGTCTATCTGTCTCTCGTCTTTGATGTAGAAAATTACATAGCGGTGCTTTTTATCTTTCTTTATTTCCTCGTACGTTGTCTTGCATACGTCTGCGACTGTCACTCCGGATGCCTAAAACAAAAGAAACAAAACGATATCGAACAAAATACACATTAGTCTGAGCGGAAAAGAGAAAAGGAGACGAGCGATTACACAATAAATATTTTATTTCACTTGAATATTCTATTACTCTAAAAAAAAAAAAACCGGTAATGAATGTGCAAAACCATGAGTTTATTTCCGGTTATTTTATCGACGCCTTTCAGTAAAACGAAACCGCTTGATTACCGCCGCGCTAACGGGCGGGCCGGATTGACTGGCACGCGGTCATTAGCGAGATATATCAATCTCGTCGATAACGATACATCGGGATCCGGCGGTTGCACACATCGGGTGTCAGCCGAGAGATCTTTAAGCTTGTTTCGCGGGCAAAATACGTAAGAGGGAAACGCGCACGGCTTACCCGAAAATAAATTCTTCCCACGCGCGAATCTCGATGCTAAAAGAGAGATCCGACGATCCACTTCTAAAGTTATCCCCTAGCTCTTGGGCACGTGCCGCGTGCTACAAACTTTTGGCTGTTCTTCGTCTCTTTCTCTTTCTCTCCGCATCACAGAAAATTCGTGAAATAATAACTTAATGTTGGACACGGTATGATTTTGTGCGTGCGTGTGTGTGTGTGTATCTCCGTTCGAATTTGATATCAATGCTAAATGTATTCACACAGCTCGTTTGATCGTGGAGCTGCAACGGGCGGTAAATTGGGATATAAAAGAGGGGATTCTGTGAGAAACGGCGACACTTAGCGGTCAGTGAATGCAGAGGATGTAACACTTCTGGGTCGATATTACGTACGAGACCGCGGCGAACGCTTTTTAAAGAGGGTGTCCGGGGAAAGGAGGGTTTTCTGTCTTCTCTCTACACGGCATGCGTACTCTCCCCCTCGAACGTACCAGTCGTGCAGAAAGTCAAACGGAAGATGATTCATCACGAGCTGGCCTAACTTCGTCCCCGTCGTTTCGAACAATAAATTTGCTCTTTTTTTTTCTTTGTTCCACTTTCTAAACGCGAAATGAAAGCGTGTAGAAGAATTGTGCGCTATAATAAAAGTAGACACATGTGTGCGAGAGAGAGAGAGAGAGAGCTCTCGCAAAAGGGAGCAGCGGAAAAAAATTATCAAATAAAATAAATAAAACGTTGAAATTAAATTTTAATCAACTTGTAGCAATTAGCGAATTTTGCGCGTGTTGAGACTTTCTCTTCGATTCATCGACGTGATTCGATCGCGAGGAACGACACGCACCGATGCGCTTCGGAGGAGAGCGTCGCGACGAACTTTCCGAGAACGATCATTAGAGACGGCGAGAGAGGGAGAGATTTTAATTAAAATCGCAGTCACACCGCACAGCACACACACCATGTGCGTGTGTTCGCGGAACGTAAAAGCGTTGTATTGTGTGACCTTCAAGAGTCGTTAGGTCCGCAAGAAAATAACCGACCTCCTTACAAGTTCATTGAATTTTTCCCTCTCTCTCCGGCTACACCGCGGCGTGCCGTTTCGGCCGTGCATTGCTCTTCCTCTCTAGTTCACTGTCATTCTTGAAGAGATGCGCCGAGAACGAGAGAGAATTAGCGGGTCAAAGTCAACCGCACTCTCTCTCTCTCTCTCTTGTCGCCGAGATATTTCACATGTGAACAAAAAACTCAATTAAAATATTTATAAAACTTTTTACATCTTCAAAATCTCCGGAACAAAAAATTCCATCTTTCTTCTTCAAATTCGACACCAAGTCCTACGTACTTGCGTGTACAAAGAAATTGATATTATCGTCTAGTTATCTAACATTTGTCAGCGTATTAAAACCACGAAGATTTCAGGTAGAAGAAGCATCACATGAGTGACTCATGTTTTATCTGTGACATTGAAAAGAAAGACTGCTCAATATAATTATATTTACACGTTACTTCGCGCGATGACAAATTGTCCAAACGTCTAGTGATAATTTTTACATAATTTTTACGTCCGCGAACTTCTCTTTGCGGATGAGAAAAAGAGCGACGACACGCGAAGCGAACTCTCTTCGATTCGAGTCACGGTTTTATCTATACCGAGTCGCAAGTGGTTTTGATAAAAAAAAAAAAAAAAAGAAAAAAAAAAACAAAGTGAGCATCACTGGCTGTTAATACAAAGACTCGTTACATCTCGCGGCGTAAACTAGAGACACGTCTGACTCATGTGTGTTCGCGACCTTGCGATAAACGACTCTTCCTAGTAGTAACAATCACGACACGTTTGTTCTTGTCGTTCCTGTCGAATGTTTTGCTTCTCTCTTTTGCGTGTACGAATGTGTGGTGGTATCCCGCTACCTTCGAATGTGCAGCAGGTGTAACGTGCGACACGAGAAAACAAATCCTTCGGCAATAAAATCTGAAAAGTGGTTTATTTCATGTTATCGCAGTTTTTTTGTTCTGTTAAATCGTCGCGTCGGAAAAATCGTCGTGAGATAACGCGGCGGCGAGCGTTATCGATGTATCTCAAGAAACGAGCGTGGATTCGTTATAGAAATAGTCCAGGCAACGCGACTCGAAGCGCCGACCGAAATAAATACGTGACGATTTCTTTCGGCGGGACGAGAGAAAATGTGACGTTCGATTTTTGTTTTTCCGCAATTTTTTGAAGGAAAATCATCTTTCGCGAAACTCGCACAATTTTTTTCGGAAAATTCAAGAACTCAAATATCTCGTGAATTTTCGAATTGATTTGAAATATCTCATTTTAGTTATTAGAACTGTCCGAAAAAAAAAAAAACGGAAATTTAAATTTATCCGCGAGATCAAAGGATCGTCCGCGAACGTGCGTTTTAAACGAAAATACAAATACGACATACACCACTTTCTTGTAACTCGAGTTTGACAGACACGTCGCGTGCGGGCAATAAATATCTCCTCAATGAAAACTCCCGGAGAGAGTTAGGACAAAGAAAGTAAATTTATACTTCTGGCTTCGAATACCTATTTATATCTGTGTCTCGCATGTAAACGCATCATTAACAACGGATGGGTCACGATAACGAATCGAGCCATCGGCGTTTCCTCACGCGGCGAGCTGTTACCTTTTATGTCGCGCGTTGTCGCCGGTGATCTTCGAAACAGAGAGACCGCGACCATATATTTTTGAAAATCCAAGTTCAAAATCTTTTCGATTTTACTTTAACAGAAGAGCGATCGTCGTAATACGATAATGGAAATTACGCGATTTAGCGTGTGACGCGCAAACATAACGCTGGCTGAAAATCGGTGAATGTCAAAAAAAAAAAACAAAAATCGAATTTGTTGAAATTGCACAGGTTATGCTATTGAATGCGCGGTGCTCGGAAAGGCGAGTATAAAAGAAGAGAGAAAGATACGAAGAGAAAGAGAGAGAGAGAGAAAGAGATAGTGATAGGGGGAGCGATGGGAAGGGCGGGAGGGAGAAAGGGAGAAAGAAGGGGGGAGAGACAGACAGAGAAACAGAAAAAAGAGCGAGAAAGAGAGAGAGAAAGAGAGGGAGAGAGAGAGAGAGACAAGAATGTGAAAGAAGAGCAAGAAAGCAAGAGAGAGAGAGAGAGAAAGAGAGTAATCGCAATACGTCGGTGACGAGCGCGAGATTCTCTCTGCCGTTGCCGATCGGTTGGCTCTCTGTCGCCTCATCGAAACAGAAATGAATCATTCACTTCCTGGAAGCCGAGTCCCGTGAGTATCGTCGCGAGAATTGAGCCGCTGGCCCAGGGGAAATGAGAAAAGCGACAGGAACAAATCCCCCTCCCTGTCGCAACGCGACCGAAATTGATGACGGCGAAACGAAAAAACTTGGAATTTCTGCGAGGTGTATATCTCTCGCGTGAGCCTAGGGCTTTGAAGCAGAAATGGCGACCGGCGCGTCTGCTGCGGCCATAACCACAAAAAGTCGTCGTATGCCGGGCGGCCTCGCCCGTCGCCACGAACGTCGCAGACGCATCGCCGTCAACGTTTATGGACGGCCTCTCTCCGGCCGATTAACGTATACAGCAGATGAGAGAAAGAGAGAGAGTGAGAAAGATAGGAGAGTATGAGAAAGAGAGAGATAGTGTGTGACGGAGAAGGTGCACCCGTCAGGATATTTACCATTTTCCGTAGGAACCCGCGTAGCCGGTGGATATAGTCACGTGAATGAGCACTTTAACCGACACTTTTCCGGAGTATCGTGGTTGAACTGGATAGCGGCGCGATGTCTCCAGTCGAAGGGGTCGCGCGTTGGCTCTCACACAGGCTAACGGGAAGGGAGGCTCCTCTCTCGCGAGAACAGCCGGCTCAACAGAACGAACACTGTATCCCTACGCCTGCGCGCGCAGCGCCGCCGCGACCGGCCGCGCCGATTGGCTCGCCCCGGCTACCCGCACTCGCCACACGCCAAAAATTCGCATCGCCGACGGCACGGAGAACCCGCGAGGAGAACCGTTGCCGCGCGCGACTCTGAAAAATCTCGCGCGAGACTCGCGAATCTTCGATATAATTCGAGCACGGATGCGTGCGAAGTGCACGCATCGTGTAACACGAGCGTTTCTGATTACACGCGACGCAGCGTGTACAAGTATGAAAATATACAGGTCTTTCTTTTTTTTTTTTTTTTTTTTTAACGTACGACACGTTACGATATTATTAATTAAAAATTACGCGCGAGTCGCGCGATAAATGGGGCGAACAATCGTTATCGAGAATTTTATCCATTCTCCGTCGTATGCGCGCGATAATCGATTCGCGGAACAATATACGCGCGTTTCGAATTAGTCATTGACACGCGACATATACCGGTCGCGCGATCCAATCGCCGCCAGGGACGTAGGGAAATTACCTTATATGGGCAGCGGCGTGCGCTCTACTAGGGCGCATATGCGTCGCGACTGCGCGGCGAAGTTCTCGCGAAACATTTAAATTGACGCGACTGTATGTATTCAATTAAATCTCTCTCGGCCGATAACGCAGAAAACAATTTTTGACACACACATATATAGATACACAATTGAACACACAATTTACAATCCTTTTTCAAGATTTTTCCGTATTAAAATTTTTGACTTTACATTTAATTTATAGAATTAAAAAAAAAAAACGTCACACACACGCAAGTAAAACTATAACTGAACGATATTAAAAACAAAAAAATATCCTACGAGAATTTTTTTGTAGTAAATATAACAATATATTTCTACACGAAAGTCCAATAAGATGTTTACTTATAAAGTACACAGGGTAAATACGACAAATGTGAATACACGTATATACATAAGTTTTTTTTTTTTTTGTTTTTGTATATGCAACTTCGCGATTACATAACGAGAAGAAATATTGCGACAATAAAAACCAATTTTACATAATTAAAATAATTATCGCTAATTTGGAAATCCTTTAGTATAGCACACAAGCATGTATGTAGACATGGTTATATTATAATATTTATGTATACGTCATCTCTCTGAGTATTATAAAAATCGCATATATATCGATATTGATTTTAACGATTAGCATATGTTTCTCTTATCCCTCGATAAATATTCATATATATTATATACAAATACATGGATTTTTGTGTCGTAAGTACGATACACGTGCGGGACCATTCGCGTTTTTCTCTCTTTGATTTGTTTAAAAAACTTCCTTCGATGGACAAGACAATATAGATGGTAAAAAAAATCATAGATGGTTAAATAATAAAAAAAATCGTACACTTCTATGTGTTCAACTACAGCATTCCTCTAAACGGTGCGTTCCTACACAAAATGTTTTGTAACAAAAAAGATATGTAAAAAAATCTATCTATAACACGCAACAATTTGTGAGAATAAAATATTACAAATGTCACGAAGTATCGCGTATTCTGTCGTGATGTACACGTGCCATCCTCGAGCCTGCGGGACTCGACGTTGTCTTTCGCGCTGTGATTCGCACCGCAAGAACAATTTGACAATATTTTTCTATCTATCTTCAAACTGCGTCGATTCGAAAAGAAGCATCTTGTGCCGCAGGCTTTGCAATTACGTCGTATTGTGATGTTTCAGGACGATATTACGTGTGTATAAAAAAAGCGGCGCGTAATTATGTACAGTTACCTTAGTTTAATTGCATTCAATTAAATGAGAAAACTATATATATATACATATATATACTGATATATATATATATATATATATATATACTGATTGTGAAATACTTCTGCTACCAACTGCCTCTAATACATAACGTAACGTTGATGCAACAGTGTTCCTAAAATTTCAATAAAAAAAATAAAATAAAATATATACTTGGACAGAAATTTCACAAACGTATATACTTTCTCACAATAAATAATTACTTCTTATGAGAACACACGATTTTTAAGTCAGTTTTCTCTTCATTAGCCAAAATAGCTTCATTGTGTACAAATACTTCCTTTTCTTCTCTTACTCGTCATTCAAGTTACGACCTACCGGCGTGCTGCGCTGGAAAAGACAGAGCACATGTCTGTGTTTCGAGAAACAAATCTCAATTAATTGTTTTAAATATCATCATATCGTCGAACAACAGTTGCGCAAGCGTCGATTACAATCTCAATAAAAAATGTTTGCCCGTCATGATACGTCGTGATGTCTCGAATCGCATAATAGGAACCACATTATCTCAGAACCATCATCATTAATACGTTGAGCGTCATCAATAAAACAGAGCTTGCTAGTAGATGTAAGAGCTGCCTAAGCTCTTACGTCATATATCTTTTATATCGTTGCTTATTGGATTATATATATATATATATGTATATATATATACACACACACATATATATATATATATACATATATACATATATATAGCTCGATGCGAATTTGTAAGATTCTAAACACCATTGAACATCGATGACTTTTTGCGTTTCGTTAGTAATTTTCCTTTATTATACATAATCACACAATATATACAAATGTCTGCTAGATACTTTGCGCCTAAACTCAGCAAATCACCACCAACCACACTCAACGTATTAAATAGATGGAGTCAGCAATAATAATAATATAATGTATAACGGTACTAATGGTATAAATAATCTACTTTGTCCTCAGTCAATAAATTACATATATAGAACATATCTCTTCCTTTTTCTCGATATTTACTCAGAAGAAGATTCGATAAATGAATTTTTTCGATCGATTAGATATCTTTGCGAATGTGTGTTTACAAGATATCCTTAGTTACTTAAAAATTTTATCATGCTCTTAACATGATGCGTGAGACGTATGAAATGTTAGATAAGACCGCGTTTCTTTTTATAGTCTTCTAGATTCAACGATCGACGAGGCCCCGTGTCCTTGATGTTGTTGATGGGCTTGGGTAAGACACTGACCGGATTGTCTAGAAACAAAATTATTATTATTGTTTTGTTTTATTTGCACAATTCTCGCGCACGTTTCTTAAAAAAAAATTGCGAAACACCGCTTACTTGATATAGGAACTTCCAAATCGATTGTTATGTCGAAATCATGCGCGTTGAACAGATCCTCCGTGCTTTGCTTCTTCTTGGAGTCCTGTCCGTTCTCCTTGTCATTGGCAGTCGATACCGAATCCCCGGTCGGATGAGGACTCACCTTATCATTCACCAAAACCATTGTGACGGTATCTGATTCATCTTCCGGCTTGTACACCATTCTCGGTTTGGTGCTTCGTCTGGTGAACGGATCGTCGATTTTCTTGCCTTTGTTAGCCTTCAATTCCTCCTGTTGCAACAATCAAAATACATTACAGTTTTATAGACGTTATGTCATAAAACGTGCAAAAAAAAACACAACACGTGTACATGTTGAATATTTTACCATTATAGCCTTCTCAGCTTCTTCCACATTTTTCTTTCTGTTGCGATCGTTTATATAGGATATACTGGATATCGTCGCGGTGCGCATCTTATCCAATTCCGATGCACGTTCCTCGAGCTCGCTCAGTTCCTGATTCAGACGACTAGCGGTTTCGTCGTCCCCTCTGCAATTAGCCGCGTCCCGTTCTCTCATAAGCTGAGCTTTCTTCATCGCGTAATTGTACGGAGCTTGTTTAAATCTCTCTTTCTCGCGTACTATCTTCTCTATATCTTCCTCCTTGAACTCGTACACCAACGCTTCTTTGATATCTTTCAATTTCTGATCTACCTCGTCGAACGTGGGCATCGATATTCCTTGTAGCGCGCACGTTTCTTTCCACTTAAAGAATTCCGAATCCGTGAATTCCTGATTCGAAACAAACTCCAATCTGAACACACGTTCCTGCGCACCATGACGCAACTTTAGTCCCTTATTCGTCCTCGTGCCGCCCAACTGATAAATTTTTCCTGTTTCGCACACGCCACTTATCTCAGCTACTCTATAGACAGGTTTACCGTTATTATTGCCGATTCCGATCCTGACAAAGCAACCCTGAACCACTCGGTCGAAGAAAGGCAAATGAACAAATCTCTCCATCTTGTGACGGGACAATCGAATTTTGTTCAGATCTTCCTTGGTATTGATGTAGACCGGTTTCTTCGGTTTTGCTTTGGCACTAGCCACCGATCTGAAATAAATAACATTAAACAATCAGCGTAACTGCTCAAACAAAAATAACAGAATATTTTATTTAAAAAGCAAACTGACTTCTTATCGTTGTCAGAATCGGAATCGCGGCTGTCGCTCGAAGACGATCTGCTTCGAGATCCTGTTGCTTTGTTCGCATCCTCTTCATCTCCGCTATCTGACGAACCACTGTCGTCAGAATATATGTCAGACGCTTTGAGCTTTGTCTTATTCCCGCTACCTTTGTGATCATCCTCCAGTTCTTCCTCTTCCACATCCTTGGATTCTTGTTGTTGTTGTTCCATTCTCTGTTTCTCCTTCTCCTCTGATATCATATATATAAAGAAGTAACATGAAAATGTGCATCCGAAAATGTACAAAAAGAAAATTAAATAAATATTTTACCTCGTTCTTTCTTCTCCTCACGTCTGGCTTTCAGCAACGACATCGCGTGGAACTTCTTATCTTGCTTCTCCTCAATGGTCTTCTTACGATCTTTACTTCTCTCTTTCGGATCCGGCGCTCTATCCACCTTTTGCTTCTCTTCGATACCTTTCTCCTTCTTTTTCGATTCCTTTTGCTTCTTTAATTCCTGTTTCTTGGCCATTCTAAGTTTCTTTTCAATTTCAAATCTCGTCTTCATGATTTCACGCTGCTCGATGCGTTTGAAAATTTCCTGCTCACGTTCCTTCTCGGTCATTTGAGCGAGTCTAGCTTGATCCTCCGCGTCTCCCATAAGTTTGTCGTCGTAACCATCGTTAAATTCTTCCTGACTGGAATCGGAAACGCTCGGATCCGAATCCGACACTTCACCTATTGAAGGCAATATACGTCACATTATTCATTGTTGTGACACAAATTTATGAAAAATGCACATTGGAAAATTATGTAAAACAATTTTTATTAGCAAATTTATGGTCTAAATACCTTCTTCCGGTTCTGAAAGCTGTTTGGCTGGTTCTTTCTCGCTGGCGCTATCTTCTGTACTGGACTTTGTCATCTTTTGCTTGCTCTTTTTGCTCGGAACCTTCTTTTTCTTGGACTTTCCAGCTTTGTTGTTCCAATTGTCGTCGGAATCCGAACTATCTGAGTCGTGTTTAACATCCTTCTTAACAGATGTGTTATCCTCATTCGACTGAGAATCATCTTGATATTTTCCCTTCTTTTTCTTTGCCAGTGACAACAGATCCTGACAATTAAAGTGCACACAGACAAATCATATATAATACGTCACGTAGAAATTGCTAAAAAGCGATATTATTAAAAAAATAATAGCACTCGGTCTGCCGTGTGACAACAATTCGGAATAAAATCGTTCATCATGTTTTTGTGTGGTGACAAAACACAAATGTTGCAACATGTTATTACTCATTATTGTGTAACAATCTCGTCTTGGATTTAAAAAGAAAAAAAAAAAAAAACTTATTCATCAAACATCCATCGCAAATTGTATGTATACCACGCTATCTCGAACGATCAGCATATTTTCAAAAAACGTCGCGCAATAAACGCTGAAGGTCGGCGATTTGCGAGAAGTCCGAAGCGAGATTCGCAGTCGTTCGCAAAAACCGAACGATTTTTTTTTTTTTTTTTTTTTTAACGCTTTAATTTATTATGCCTTCAGCTTCTATTGCAACTTTTTTAATGGACGGCACACGGAGCTCGGAAAGGTTAAGCTATTTACATTATCCAAGTCGGAGCCGCTTTCGGACGCGCTCCCGCTGCTGTCGGAATCGATTAGGGTCTGATTTTTCCTTTTTGGCATCTTGTTTTAAACTGCGAACGCGTTTCTCGATGAATAACGTAAATAACACACAACTATTTATCACCGTTCGCAGTCATTTACGTTTGCCACAACCAGCACTATATCCTTTCCGACGCACACGTACGTGAACCGTCCACAAATAAACGTAGTAGCTCGAGGGGAAGGGCGGTTTTGTTCGCGTTCCGTAATTCGCTGCGGGTGCCGCCAGGAACGCCGTTCAAGATCTCGTGAGAAAGAATCGACCAATCGGATTGAATCGAACCGGTCGAATTGTTCGAACGCGATTGGTTTAACAGTTTTCTCTCTAACTCCGGTTCTTCCAAATATCGCGCGCACGCAATGCGCTTTAAATCGCCGTTTTCATTAAATCCCCCCGTGTCGATAAATCGGACGCGGGATGTGTAATGCGGAAAAAAATAACGCGGCAACCAATCGTCGTCACGCTGATGCATAAAGACCTTCGAATTGATTGGTCATCGCGTCATGTTGCTTCTTGCAACGCGGCGCGACGTTAAACGGATCGGTTACATATGTGCAAAGACCAAAATTCCTTTTTGGAATGACGTCATCGACGAAGTCCGGCCAGCATCAGGGCTGCTGCGGGACAGCAGCGGTCGGTCAGTAAGCAGCTGGTGGGGAAAGAGGAGGAGAACTGCGGAATCGTACACGTGTACGGGGGGGCGCGCGTAAAAGTGTGCGAGCGGCGGCTTCTTGGACACGAACCGTGGTGGTGCGCGCGGTTGCTGGTGTGTGAGGAATCGTGGAGTGGTCATCATCACCAGCGGGCACACAGTGTGTCAGTCGGGTGGCGAGTCACCGAGGTGGTTCTTTGTACGCGTGTACAATTTCTACACAAGAGAGGAGTTTGATAACAGGCGAGATAGCGCCAGTGATTTTTCCTGTGGCCGACGAGGTTGTACGCTTCGTGGTCGTGTGTCAGTGGTGGCGGTAGCTGCCACTTTATTCTCTCTCTCCCGTTGGCGATCGAGAAATCTGCTGATTGCGCGCTGCTGGTCCATGTGCCGTCTTTCCGATTAAAATGCTCATCAAGGAATTGTAAGTAGTTTTTAGCTCTGGCCTAAAAGGGAGAATACGAAAACGGGGGGAAGAAGAACGAGGTTGTCAGGTGCGCGCCACAACGAACGGCTCTGTTTCATTTTTTTCAATGTCGATCTTCACCGAATCTCGACGTAACCAAAAAAGAAGCACCCTCTCGCGAATCGATCAAAGAGGTGCGATCGTTACTGATCTTCGGTGACAACTACGGAGGAGGGGTGAAAAAGAGAGTGACAGAAGAGTGAACAAGAGAGCGAAGGGGGTGGGAGGAATGATAAGTTTTTTTTCATCCCTCACTGGCTGCTTTTTTTAAAGAACTATTCATTGCGCGTGTCTTCTGCATTTTGTTTCTCTTTCCTCTTTAAATTCTCTCTAAAATTATGTGTACTATATATATATATATACATACATATATTGGTATATATGTATACTTTTTCGAAGACACGTATATATATATAGATAGAAAACTCGAGTGTTTGAGTGCTTTGAAATAAGCCGAACTTGCAAGACGATTGGTCTGTTAGCGGGGAATAATTCTAGACAGAAATTTGAGAAGATCGCGAGTTTTCAGTCCGCGGTCCAAATCTTGATCACAGAAACGTCGGGTCTTTTCAAAATTCGCGAATACACAACTAGTCAGTCTTGAAAAATGAAAAAATCAACAAAGAAAAACATGGGAAAAAAAAAAAAGAAAGGAGGAAGGAGAGTACAGAAAAGTGCAGATCAAAGTTCAGCATACCTGAGGCTTCTACGAGTGGTACTCTGGTACTGATAATTGATTCGCGTGTATGGTGCAAAGCGGCAGATGCGAAATGTACGGTTTATTGATTAACTTTTTTTCGCGATTTCTGATTTAATTAAGATTGGCTTTGACGCCGTTGATTGTGAAAGCGATCCTTGCACCTTCGTTCTCCGTTGCGTAAAAAAAGAGATCGTCGTGGCTCAAGGCCGCGCGATCTTATTATACTATGATCTTCCGTTATATTTTCTTGTTTGTTTCCACAACAATAACATAACTCTTAATTTTTTTGTTACAGCCGTGTCACTCTGCCCCTCACAGTGGAAGAGGTGTGTATTTTATCTGTCATGATGATGTTGCTTCTCGTAATAATCCAGTTTGAGAGACAGGTCTTCAAGAATATTAGATTGCAGAAACTAAGACTGAAATTTGAATTCTTAGCGATACCATGCCATTAACAAATATGCCACTCATCTAATTGCTCTGTTTGCATAACAATATGCACTAGAGACTGATATAGATCTTCTATATAAACCGCACAAGTGAAACTTGCAATTAGAAGTCTCTCTTTTCATTGTACAAAGTATAGGATCAATTTTTGTTAACGTCTGTATTATTATTAGCTTTAATTATTGGTTACACATAATACTCAAAAAAAAAAAAAAAAAAAACAATCAATTTACTTGTGAATATATGCAAATTTTTTAAAAACAATGAATCAAAGAATATGTCACATTTTATCACAATTTTATAATTCATTTAAATGTATGTAATATAATTATGTACATGTGTTTGTTTTCTTGTATTTCTTTTTAAAAAAATTGTTTCATTTATGATGGTTTTATCTTCAACAGTATCAAGTAGCTCAGCTATACTCTGTGGCAGAGGCTAGTAAAAATAATACAGGCGGTGGAGAAGGCATCGAGGTGTTGAAAAATGAACCTTTCACGGATTATCCTCTATTGGGTGGAAAGTATTCAGCAGGCCAATATACATATAAAATTTACCACTTAGCTAGTAAGGTGCCTGCTTTCATTCGCATTTTGTTGCCAAAGAACTCGTTAGAAATCCATGAGGAGGCTTGGAATGCTTATCCGTACTGTAAAACAGTCATAACTGTAAGTTTTAACACACACACACACATATATATATATCTGCATATGAATTAAATATCTTTGATTACATTTATGTAATCAAAGATATTTAATTCATGAGAAACATGATGTCATCTGTTTTTTTTTTTTTTTTTCAGAATCCGGGCTATATGAAAGACAATTTTGTGATTATGATAGAATCCTTTCATATTGGCGACGTTGGGGATCAGCATAATGTAAGTATTACACAAAGTACTTTGCATATTGCAAAGTCCAGTTTTTACTTATTGTTTTCTCATTTGTAAAAAAAGGTTCATGAATTGTCACCCGACAAGCTCAAGATGAGAGAAATAGTGCATATAGATATTGCGAACGATCCAATCGCCAGTGCTGATTATAAGGAAGACGAGGATCCTACTAAATTCAAGTCCCAGAAGACGGGACGGGGCCCTCTCGTAGGGAAAGACTGGAAACATAACGTTACGCCTGTCATGACATGTTACAAGCTAGTCACATGCGAATTCAAATGGTTTGGCCTGCAAACGCGCGTTGAAAGCTTCATTCAGAAAGCGGAGCGGCGACTATTCACCAATTTCCATAGGCAAGTATTCTGCTGGATAGATCGCTGGCACGGCTTAACAATGGAAGATATTCGGGCGATAGAGGACAATACTAAAGAAGAATTGGACAGGGTAAGGATGTTGGCCTTAACATTACAAAAACCTGTTTGTGTGTATCACGCAACTTGGATGAATAATTTCTTCTGTCGAATCAAATTTCTGAGACTATATTCAGATATGTTTTAATTACAGCAAAGACATCAAGGTGAAGTACGGGGTATGCGTGCCGAAGATTGAGGCTTTGACAGCTTCTACTACGAATGGTTAACTCAATTTGCTTATACATGTCAAGTCAAATATATATACGCATACAAATGTACACCTTGTTACGCTCTTATCATAGACGATTCCACACGATCGACGATTTGTGGAGTTTAGCATCTAGACTCAATGTTTATTACAAATTACTTGCAATTTTTAATTTATTTTACATTTATAAGCATTTTAGATAAATGTATTTACAGTCAAATGTTACATTATACATATATATATAGATTAGCTGTTATTATAAAACAGAAAACGGAAAAGGATCAGAGTCAAAAACTGATTCTAGTCTAACGCATAATTGCAAAAGAAACCTATCAGAAATTTTGCGAAAACAATTTAATTATATAGATGAGAAGCTGCGGATATTTAACATGGGTGGTTGTTTAAAAAAAAAACATAAACATTGGAGTTTGTTAACGGTACTTGCCGAAAAAGTATACATATATAAAAAGAAAAAAAACAAAGGGAATTTGTTGTTTAACATTGCAACTTTTTCGCTCTCGTAGTTGAATACTTTACAAAAAAAAAAAAAAAAAAAAAAAAAAAAAGAAACTTCACATTAATGTTTACTGTACTAACGTACAAGTGAAAATCTAAATGTTAACATTGTATTGTAATGGTCCGTGTGTTTCAAATCAGTATTATTTTCTGAAAGTGTGGCCGATCGTGTATTTTTAGACAAAAAAATTTCAGAAGTATTTTCTCAACTCTGAGAAAATGTACATGTATATATACATAATAATAATAATAATCAGGAAACTTGATCTTTGAAAACATTCCAAAAATCAAAAAAGTAAAAAAAAAAAAAGGAAGCTATATATATATACAGTTGTTCAGTGGAATTCTTCGATCACATGGCAGAAAATGTTAGAACTCGAGTATATAAGTGTTCCGTTTCTTTCATTCCGTTCGTTCGCTCGACGAATGTGAAACGTGCACATCTGTAATATCTGTTTTCTTGAAAAAAAAAAAAAACAAAAAAAAACCAAAAAAAAAAACAGTGAAATTAAACTAATGAATTTTTAAATTGTATTGCATGCAATAGCACAGATTGAACTCTAAATTGCGTTCCACTGAGAACGAAGAAGAGAGAGGCGACGATGTATTCTATGTAAAGAGAAGTAGTGCTAACAGCAATATATACATACACGTTCACACAAAATCACACACACACACACACGTAGAAGAGTCTAGACTATTTCAATATTAGTGATAACGTGATTGAAAGGATGCATTATATTGTACATAAAAAGAAAACGATAAGAGGAGAAGAGGTGTACAATGAATAGCAAATTCAAGTGACATGTAATAACGTTTATTTGCATTCCAATGGATCTCTAAAACCAGCTAAAAAGATATTCTGAGGCGATGCTTACATGCTACGTTTATAGATTATTTTCTTCCATTTTTCAAAACCTTTTTTATTTTTTTTTTATTTTTAACTCCTTAATTGAAAAAGATTCTTTTATGAATATTGCGTTATAAAGAAATACAAAGAAGGTGAAAATATGAACTTTTATGTATCCAAAGCTTGTGATTTTTTTTTTGCTTCAAAAGAAAAAACCAGAAAAAAATGTATACAAAATATCGTGCATTTTGAGAATAATATGTTACAACATATGATTGCTTTTAACGAAGAAGGAAATCCCGAGAGTATAATAAATGAAAAACGTTTTAATCTCAATAAATGTTAAGAGTTCACATGATGAAGGTGGAATCGCAGTTGGGTTCCGAACATCACGTTGTGGGATCTCTAATATATGTAATTAAGTAGCAAGAAAGAAGAAACAATAACAAAGTATATATAATTTAATTATGTCGCACAAACTGTAAACATATATTCTCTACTACATTGAAGAACATGGACACAGGTGTCCAAAGAGAGACAGCTGTGTTCTCATATATTTATGTACGAATAGTGGTAGCGATGAGAGATAAAAAAAACGGTGCACATAAATACTTATTAACGTATGCATGAACGTACATACGAGGAAAAACAAAAGAAACCAAAAAGCTGGGCATATTTATTTTATCGAGAAGGTACATATATATATATATATTAATTAATCGAAAACGCGGGACGGATTTGTGTCGTTTAAAAAAAAAAAAAAAACCCATAACTAACGAATCCACCTTTGCCTTAATGTATAATGTTTCTCATCTCGTTGAACGCACAAGTTTCCACACTTGTGCGCGTGGGGGTTTACCTTTTACCCTATCATTTTACGGTAATAGTTACTTAATGATAATAATAATAGCGGGCTCTAGCTGTTTCTGATGATATGTGTAAGCAAAATTGAAGAAAGTCGTAGATAGAAAAGAAGAATCTGATATTCTCCATATCGCTGCCATAATAATGTTTCAGTAAAATCCCAAAAATATGTATATGTGTATAAACACATTATAAATATATAAAAATGACGTGTATGCGTTCTGTTCTCTTATACGTATATACATGTGAGCGCGCGCACGTGTATACGTTTCTCAATCCAGTCACGTATAATATATATATTTAGTTAAAAAGAAAAAAACAAAGTGAATAAAATTAAAAGATAGATCATATTTAGAAGTGACATCTTTACTTTGATTTCTTTTATTATTACAAACATACAAAGAATTATATATATATATACAAACAGTTTTAATTATAATAATAAAAAAATATATATATATTTTCTCTCGGCTATAAAAAGAGCGAGATTTTGCAGGAAGAGGTTTTTATGTTGTGAGTTATAAGCCGCGCGAGCGATCTCTTTTAATTGTAAGCATACTCCTTAATGAGATTTCCGGCGATCACGAGTCTCTGGATTTCCGACGTGCCCTCATAGATCTCTGTAATGCGCGCGTCCCTGTAGTAACGTTCCGCCGGCATGTCCGACACATATCCCATTCCTCCCAAAATCTGTATGCACTGATGAGCACAAAACGTGGCGGTTTCGGATGCCGATAGCTTAGCCATAGCAGCTTCCTAAAGAAAAACAAAAAACAAGAATTAAGAAAAATAAATAATATATTCGATAATACACAACCAACAACTTTCTTTTATTAAATGAAAGAGTTATATTAACGAAAACATTTCGCTTGTCATGTTCTATATACAAATCTGTACCTTGGTGTACGGTTTGTCGTTATCCTTGAGCCGAGCTGCCCGCCACGTCAACAGTCTCGAGCTTTCCAGTTTTAGAGCCATATCGGCGATCTTTTGCTGAATCGTTTGCAATTTGATGATGGGTTGGCCGAAAGCCTGACGCTTGGACGCGTATTCCATCGCACAATCCAAAGATGCCTGAGCTATGCCCAACGCTTGACTGGCAATACCTATTCTGCCAGCATCTAAAAACAACGTTTAACGTGCCTATCTCTTTTTCCACATTCGAATTATTGCATTAGTGCACAATTAGCGCTCACCTAAACTCATCATTGCAATTTTGAAGCCCATTCCCGGCTCGCCTAAAATATTGTCACTAGGTATCTGGGCATCCTCAAAGATCAAAGAACAAGTGCTACTGCCTCGAATGCCCAATTTATCTTCCTTCTTGCCCACAGTCAAATTCTCTGTTGACCTGTCCACTATAAAGGCGCTTATACCTTTGTGCTTTTTAGACTTATCAGTAGTCGCAAAGAGAATTATTGCCTGAGCCTCATTCGCGTTTGTTATCCACGACTTGGTCCCGTTAACTGTATATTTGTTATTATCTAATTTAGCAGTTGTAGATGCAGCACCTGCATCAGATCCGTTGTTTGGTTCACTGAGAGCGAAGCAGCCGATTTTTTCACCGCTTAAAAATGGAGTTATATATTTTTCCTTCTGTTTGTCAGTTCCAAATTTATCAATAGGACCCAAGTAGAGCGAATTGTTCACGCTCATTATAACACCAGCGCTCGCACAACCTCTGGATATCTCCTCCATGGCTATAGAATAAGCTAAATAATCCAATCCGGTACCACCTAAAGATTCTGGCACACACAAACCCATGAGACCTAATTCACCCATCTTTTTGATTTGTTCCTTCGGAAAAAGATGATTCCTATCAAATTCTGCAGCAAAAGGCTTCAATTCCTGTTCGGCAAAGTCCCTGTAATTATGTTTTAGATTCTTACTTTGTTTTTAGCAAAACTTAAATCTTTTTGTTAAATCTTTCTATCAAATAGAACATCTTCAAACTACCTGCATGTTTTATGCAGCATCTGGTGAGTATCCGGCAACATAGATAGCGAGGCAATGCGTCGGTTAATAACATATTTACCTCTAATAGACACATTATGGACATTTGCTGGCGAATACAATAGAATGACGGGAATACAAGTTTTTGCAAGAATATAAAATTTATATAAAATTCACGTACACAATTGCGTATATACTCACCAAATAATCTTAAACACTGCATTGTAATTATCAAATCGCAGAAGTTACAAAGATACAAAAAAAAAACACACAACGGGTTAAATAAAGCTTTCGAACTTTGACCAGAATGCCACAACAATTCACATTCGCGCAGTAGTTTTATATATAAACTTATATATGCACTTAATTTGTAATCATTATACAGTACATTAATAGTATCAATACAAATCTTATCTATTACAAAATTATACAGCGGTGTGTTTCGATTCTCGGCAGGTGTTCGGTTCACAGCAGAGATACCACTTCAAATGTTAGCGAAATCAGATGCCATTTAACGACCTTTGTATACGAGAAGACAGATGAATCTTAAATAAACGGCAGCAGTTCTAAATCTTGACAAAATTATATTCAGTCGGTGTTATTCAAATTTTGATAAACAGAAAAAAAGCGTCGCGCGGCTCTTTAAATCAAACAATTAACAATTCATTAAAAGCGTAAGTTTCAAGGTTAAGTATTTATCATATTGACAAAATATGAATCGATATGCGCATGCGTTTACATACAAAGCGCTCCGAATACGAAACGAATTGGAAAAATTTAAATCTATTTCTCTTCGCACAATCTGTTTCTCTTTTCATTTAACAAAGCGAGGCTTGATGGAGGAAGACATATAACACACATTCGAACACTTCTCGTATATGTTCACTTATCTCTGTATTCTAATTTAGAATCGTACAGCGCTTTGATAATCATACATGATCTCTTGTGACTTTCCGGTCCAACATGATTCTGACTTCTATCGGCTGTGGGAACAGCTTTCTTTTTAAAGTTCGTCATGCTCGATTTATTAACACCTACGTTTCTGTGATGCGTTTCGGTCTCACTTTGTACACTTTTGTCAATGACGAACGTCGATTTTATCCGATTCAATGCTTCTCCTGAAACAATACAGACGTACGTTCTTCAGTCATTACGAAAAAAATGGAGATGCGGTCTCAACTCTTCGGTGTCACTTACGTTCGTTCTCGTGAAACGACAAGTCGTCGAAGAAAGCAATGTTGCACATGAACAAGTGAAAGGAATTTTCGATGTCGGGAAATCGGGTAACAAAGTCGGGATCGCAAACCGCGAGATGGCTCAGGAAGCTGATGCCCAGCCTCAACACTTTGTAGTGCATCTTTTTTATATCGCTCCAAAAATTTTGATCCAAGTTATCCGGATACGTTTCCGTCGTCAGACGCTTCTCCGCGTCTCGCCACCCGACGACGTATCTCATCTGACGCACGTAGTCCTTGTAATTAATTCTCTTCAAGATGTAACACTTGTCGCGACGCGGATCTTGCCACTCGGAATTATCAATTACGTCTAATCTGGTTTCAGAACATTTTCTCAACATATTAATCGTGAACCGCAATAATTTTATGTAACAGTTGCACGTTTCCGAGCATTCGGGTCTTAATAAATTACCGTTCATCTGCAAGACATACCATACGGACGATATCAACGCATGCGTCAGATTTACTGTGGTAAGAAAGTTTGGATAAAAGTGCTCCATTTGCGTTAAAAGAATTTGCAAGACACAAGCATCTGCAAAAAAAATCAAAGAGAACAACTTTGTTTGCTTGTTTCAAAAGAATCGTCACTTTTTCTTGTTTTACTTGCGCCAACATACCTGGTGTAAAGTGTAAAGCGCCATTCCACGTTTTTATCGCCATCGACTCTGTGTTAAAAACAACAAATACGTAAATACGCTAAATAATACGAATAAATCTTTTACTGAACTTACGAGAATTCTTGCAGAGGTTCGACATAAACGCATTGCTTTTGCTGCTGAAGATCATTAAGGTACGCGCCAGGGAGACGTAACAAAGCGACAGCGGTCTCGAGAACACAATTTCTTTGAATATAACAGACACGTATTCCAATCTGAAATGACATTTACTTTAATGCGTAATTCGATTTCGTCTTCAAACATTCGTAAGGTCAATATCAAGATACCCTTTCTCGCAGTAACTGTCTTTCCGCTGCACGTTACACAGCACTTTCAGAATCGCGTTTATGAGGCCTGTAAATTGATGAGATCTTCTCTGAAATAACAATAAATTTATCAATTGTCATCGAAAACAATTTTTCTGACAATCAATCAAGTTCGAGAACGTGATGTTGCACTTACAACACGTCTTATTAAAGTGACGCATTCTAGAAAAATCTCAAGAATTTCGAACTGGTGATCTTTCTTCGGCCACGCATTGTAACGTGTCATTTGACGCAAGTAGCTGTTGTAACACTCGTCATTGCGCGCGTTAAGCGGCAATCTTCCCGTCAGGTAATTTCTTAAATACGTCGATTCCAAACTAATCTCCGAGATCGCGCCGAGCAATCTTCTCGCTTCGATACCGCGTTCTCCGTCATGCCACGAACCCGCCTCACACTCAGACTTAATGCAAGCAACGTGGTCGTTGTAAATCTTAGAAAAATATAGATCGTTCATATCTCGAATGTCGTCATTGCTCATAGCTTGGAAGATCGTTTGCAGGACCATCACAACGTTCAACACTAGTTCCCGCGTGGCCAAAATCAGCTGAAACACCGATCGTATTGTACGTATTATGTTTCACACACGTGTCTGCGCGTGTTATACGCACCTTGTTGATAATTGGAATACATTTTTCGGACTCGATCTCCGTATCAACTTTTCTTCCCAAAGCGGTAATTTCTTGTAAAACAAATTCCGTTGTCAATCTCTTCTCATCTACCATAGTAACCACTGGTTTCACCAAGTCGGGATTTTCTAAATCAACATATTGCATATTTATATAAAATTTCTATATTCCTACACACACACACACACACACACACACACACACGCAATTCTACTAATATTTACCAAAAATTCTCGACGATTCTTCTTCTTGCAAAATGGGCAAGTTTCTTCTTCCAGTCTTTTCTGTAATCTTAACATTAACAATAGGTTTTTCTGGCGATGATGTTCCAACCATAAACTCTGAAATTCCAGCAAGAGGAAAATCTGAAGAACATTTGAAACATCACAGAATTATAGGATCACCGTATATATCTCGTGTGTGTTGCTTTTTTTTCGTCAGTATACTCACAAGTGTGACTTGTCTTAAGGTGGTAATCAGTTTTCTTGCACGTGTTAGCTTGTACACATGCTTCTTTCAATGAAGTTTTGTTTGATGGCCTGTTAAACACAATATTAGTTTTCAAATCAATAACCAAATACTCTAGATATGTTTTTTTATTTTAAGATTGGCTCACCGTTTTATTGAGGTATTGCATTTGTTCCTACTAAGAGATGTGTTTGCATACGTTTGCGGTTCTTTCAATTTAATATTTCCAGATTCTAGTAGCTTACAACGTTCTAGAAGATTTTCAATATCTAACTTCTGTTAACGCAATTAATAAAAATAAAATAAATTAGTTTTTTTTTGCGCTTGTAACAAAAATGAATAAAAATATATACACCACGCACTTGTAATTCTATTTGTGTTTTTAATTGTTCTTTTTCCTTGCAGATCTCGTTTATCTCCGATCTGTGCTGATTGGCTTGCTCCTCTATCAAACGCATCTTTTCCGATTTTTCATTTTCAGCTCGCAACTTTATTTGTTTCAATTGCTGTCGTAGAAACACAGTCTCGCCGTTTTTTGTTTCAAAATTAGTCTGCAGCTTCTTATTCTCACTTTTCAATCTTTCCAATTCGCTGTTATCTACAAGAAAAAAGTCTGTGTACACATATGACCATAAATTACAAAATGTATTTTATTTCTTGAGTGCTTATCATCAATATACCTGGCATAATAATGCTATTTCCCTTTTGAAAAGTTGAATTGTGATCTTTTTTGTCCATCAATCTATTTCTAAACTGGGAGTAATTAATTTCTGCTAAGTCTTGGGTGCTCTGGCTTGTGCCCTGCATATTCATTGTCTTCAACTTAGATTTCTCTGTCGGCACTGGTATCTTAAATTGGGATATTCTGTTAGAGACAGTTGGCTTTTCCGTGAAGTTTGTTTTTTCAGAATGTAAGCCAGTTTCAAGATGTTTTGCATTGGACACGGTGTTGTTTTCCTTAAAAATACAAATTCATGATTGAAGTAAAAAAAACGTTCAAACGCATCATAAAACAAACATTAAGACTTAAAAATGTATGTAGTACTTGTAAACACGCTTGAGACGCAATGAAATCCATTTCCTCGATATCCTCCTCGGCGAAATCATCGCCCCAGAGATCGTCGTGTTCCTTCTCCTGCGTCTTGTCATTTTTTTCTCGCTCTCTCTTAGGAATGTCCAATTTCGCTCGTTTCGCCGGTAGGTTAAACTCATTGTCCGGAGTTGTTTTCTCGATTCGTTTAAACATCGTGACGTAAGATGTTCCATCACACAAATGTCATATCAGTGTGTAAACAAAAGAAAGATATCGGTACGTACATGCGATTTTCTTTCAAGGCGATCATATGTTGTACCGCACGAGTGTGCTTATAGTTTTGTTGAGATTTTTCTCTTGATAAACAAATCCACACACAAAACTTACATATCACTGTCAAGCACGTTTCATGCTGTTTCACGAAAGCGAGTGAATTCAAGTTGCAAAATTATTCAGACGCGTGTCACAACAAAACAAACCGGCGGTGTCGAGTTTTTGTTGACTTTGTGAAATCCAAAATGGATCGCGCGCATACACGCAGTTTTGAAGATCAAAACGGTATAGCACGTTGCTGTCACCGGCTGCGTTTGTGATGTAAAAAACAAGGATGCGTCATCATTTCCGAGATGCGCAGTGTTTGACCAATGAGAGATGTGCTTCGAGACAATAGGAAGAACGGACGAACGTCTTCTGTCAATTCTACGCGAAATTTTTAATAACATTTACATTTTTATTACTTTTGAAATTTTGTTATGCTAATTTTGCAATAAAAGCTCCAAGGTCTTTGTATGCAAAATTTCATTAACTTTCTGTGATTAATTTGAGAGATACCAAGCGTTTTTCGCTGATGGTACAAGCGCGTAAACGTTCGAGAAAGCCGGCCGCTACGAGCTAAATTTCAGATTTATTACCAGGATCACAGAAAGTGGCAGGAGCTTTACCAGGAGCTAGCTCAAATCGGCCGGTAAGTTAGAGGTATCAGGAAAGGTATAAGTTGAAGTAGGTGGCACTAAATTCCCGCCGGTAATATTCTTGATCGATAATGCAGTGGTATTAGGAAACGATAAGTTGAAGGAAGTGGCGCTAAGTATCCGTCGGTAATGTTTATCGGCAAATTCCGGCCGATAAATTCAACTTTATCACCAGGATCACAGAAAGTGACAAGAGGTTTACCATCGTAAGAAGTGAACTGACTCAGCCGATAACTTATAGCTGTAGTAGAAAAGTATAGGGTTGAAGTAGGTGGCACTATATGTGTCTGCCGGTAACATTCATTGGTAAATTCCAGCGGAAAAATTCAACTTTCTTACCGGGATCGCAGAAAGTGACAAGAGCTTTGCGGAGGAGGTTTAGAATTCTCGTGGTTCAAGTTTTCGCTAAAAAATACTCGGATTTAGCAAAGATGCGAAATAAAAATTGGAAATACGAGCCGATTCGGATTGATTGCTCTTAGACATCTTTCTGACAGTTAACATGACGTAAGAAGACGATGAATTTCGCGCTATTTTTAAGGCAACAATTTGATTGGTTGCACCGTATCAGGTCGTTGCTATACGCAATGACACACCATTTTACATCGTGGAACAAGCTGCTTTCTAGCAAACTTAACGTGATTGGCTCTTGCTTTTGGAACTTATTAATCATTGTCGCGCGTTGACAAAGACAACTCGGTGATGAACTCTGATGAACAAAGTGTGGCTCAAAGGATGAGAACAAAATTATACTCAGTTAACAATAACAAGTTTGCACGTTTATTGATTGCGTTCTTTTATACACGTGTGTAATATTTGATTTAAGATACAAATGTTTTCTGAAAATATAACGATACATTGAAAAACAGTAATTTTCTAAAAATAACAACCTAGGTTTTGTGTCACAGTAAAATATTTTGGAAGACTTCTGATTTAATCTATCTTCTTCGGCTCCCTCTTGGATGGGAATATCGCAAAGAGAGACAGTTGAGATACGCTGAGTATGAAACCAACTGCATTCTGAAACTGAACCATAAAATAAAATAAAATAAATTTGTAATGGACATTAGGAAAATGTTATTTTAAACAATTCTGCATATTTATACACGCATATTCAAGTAACTTGTTTTTACATATCACTTACGATAAGAAAACTGTTATCAATGATAACGCCGTACAGCAACCATTGGAAAGAAACTAGAGTGCCCATAAAAATAAGCGGAAATGGAAGAATTTCCGTGCTCTTCGTTCTTATAACTTCTCTCTGCAAAGCAATTAACAGTAATAAAATCATGTTTTAAATGTACGTATCTTAATACTAACAGAGCAAAAATAAATTGTATTCTTACGAGATGTGCAAGAGGTGAAGCAATTAGAAGCAAGAGAAGTACTGTAACCACAATACCAAATCTATGTTCAACAACTTCTGGATCTTCCACCTGAGCATACGCGAGGAGAATTGTGACAAACATGGATACCTTGGATACTTGTTTAAGTAGTTTTCTCTAAAAGAAAAACAATATTAATAATAAATGCAACTTCAAGAGGTTTCTCCATCAAAAAGTAAAGTCAGTATTTTAATCAAGCTCGCATCAAATGAATTACCGTGTTTGGAGTGTAGTAGTAGTATACTGCCATATAGACAATGTTTACCAAGAAGCCAAATATGTTAACAACTTTCATGTTAATATCATCTACCATCCAAGCATATCGAAGCATCAAAAGGCATCTAAAAGGATTTGTTAATTCAATTAAGAAAGTTCACATCTGATTTGAATCTTCTTATTATAATTAAGTTTTTATTTTTTTCCTCTGTTTCTTTGCTGTTATTACATAGTAGCTGTTTTTAGCAGAACTCCTAAGTGCTTACTAAGCGTTTTGTGATTATTATCTGTGATTGGTGTGCAGTTTTTTTTTTTTTTTTGAAACACAGATTTATAGCATAACAAAATCCTGTTACATGCAACAAGCAGCAAAACACTTACTAAGCACCCAGTTCTGCTGAATGCAGCCAAATGTGTATCTGAGCATTTTGACTTATTAATTAATCAGTAGTAAAAATAAGGAAAGATTTCTGACACAAAAAAAAGTGTTATATTGCCGTACAATAAATACTTATGAGAGATATTGTTGCTGTGGAAACAATTTAAATGCAATTTGTACAAAATATATTAACTGGTTTCAAGAAACACACTTGTGGAATTGTACTTACAGTCCTACACCTCCAAGAAAAGGCATTGGATCAAATCCTTCTGATGTACCTTTTTTGTATATATCTCTGCATATCAGTCTGTAAAAGTTTGAATAAAAAAAATTGTAACAATTAAACGGAAGCAGATAAATTTTCATCCTTCAATTAATGCGTCGCTTTTTTCATATAAATATTCCTGAGTTAAAATCCTTATTAACATGTTACGCACGAAGCAAGCATGACAGTTACATAAGCATTGTTATCGAAAGTAACATCGAAGAGGACTTGAAGATTGTTTTTTTTTTTTTTATCAAAAAAGATAATTTATCACAAACTTACGTTCCGGATAACATGTGAAGTATCGTGGTGTACGCGGCAGAAGAGCCAACAATTTCTTTATAATCTTCCAGAACCATTTTGCTTTGTTTGGTACAAGTTTTGCTTTGTGTTCAATTCAACGTTAATTGCAGTCAATGTCAAATGCGTTTAATCAATCACAACGGATACATTCCGACGGGGTGTTCGCCGCTAGAATAGCAATTTGATAGAAGCCCACCACGGGCACCACGTGACGATACATTGCACTCCTCCTCCTCCGCACGCGGAAAAAGAATAATTTCCCATTTTCATTAAATATCATTAAATCCGCATCGGTCGTACATACGTTTAGGATCGGATCGAAATTTAACCAATCAGAGGATAAAGAAAATTTCGTTTCGATTGGTTTGAGCTTTAAATCCCATCTTGATTTGCGGTGTGACGCGGACCTTAGGGCGACGTCCCATTGGGCGGAAATCTATAGCGGAACGGAATGTGCGGAACCAGTGCTCGACCAATCATAGCCATTCCGTTTTCTTTTCTTCGCTTATTCCGTGGTTACGATTGGTCGAGCCGGTTCCGCACATTCCGTTCCGCTATAGATTGCCGCTCAATGGGACGTCGCCCTTAGGCTCTTTAAATCCGTCAAGGAAATTTTAAGAGCCGTCTACAATGGAGAGTTGTAGGCCGTAATAGTAAGAAATTGACCAATCACAGACAAAGTACAGAAGAATAATCGATTGTGATTTGTCAATTTCTTACTATTACGGCCTACAACTCTCCATTATAGACGGCTCTTTACCTATCACATTCGAGCAATTCGAACCGATCGACCAATGGAATCGCGCGGTCAGTTTCCTCTCGCCGAGTTCACGAGGTCGTATTTCCACCACGGGGGAGACACGAGCTCTCGACCCAAGAGAACTCCTCCTTCTTCCCCTCTCGCGCAACCGACGCCGCGAAACCGCCTGGTGCTGCGCCCACAAAAAAAAATCCCGAGGATATGGAATCAGGATACGAACTGGCTTCTCGAGAAGCTTCGCTCCTTGGACGGGAAGGCCGAGAAAAAAAATTCTGAATTACAGAGATGCGGGAAAAACGAAGAAAGGATCCGACGTTCGAATCTCGCTCGGGAACCGACGAGGCTGGCCGAGAGGACTCGATAACCTGATCAATCGACAAAAAACCTTTTTTAATGAGATCGCGTGACGGCGCACACACGATCACAAATGGGGGTATCCTTAATGGTTCGTGCTAATTGCTCCAGCAAATGGCGTCGTTCGCAAAATCACACATCTCGCTCGCATCTCCACCGATGCAGCCACCCTCTCGAGATTACCTGCTCGATTATTAATTTATATAGTTGTTGCCAATAACGCGAATATGTAGGTGCGATCGCGCATGTATGTCCGAGGCAGAGTGACGCCAGTAGTAGACGCCACCACGGAGTCGCGTCATAACCCTCAGACGGAGAGAGAGAAAGAGAGAGAGAGAGAGCACGGAAGCTGGAAGTCAAGAACCGCGGTGTCCGACACCGGGGGTGTGCGATCGTCCGCGATTTTTTGTTTTCTGAGAAGATTTTTTTCTACAGAGACGTAACTCGACCGAGTCTAGAAAAAAAAAAAAAAAAAACAAAGACGTGCACACATTCGTTTCACCCGAATCGCGCGGTTTTTCGCCGGCCGAAGTTCGTTCTATCGGGTGACGATATCGAAGTTACACGCGCGTGTACGCAAGTGTTGTGTGTTGTTGTACAACAACACACGCGCGCGCGCGCGAGTGCATTTTCACCCCCGTGCGTGCGTTGAAAGAGAAAAACCATATATACGGTAATCCCCACGTTCCGTCGCAATACTCGCGCTACCTACCGAGCGGGGTCCGTCTCTCTCCCGTCCGTCGTCGAGTGCAATTGTGCGCGGTCGCGTAATCTCCGCGATCCCCGCGAGCGCGCACAACACAAGATTCGGACAACGAGGAGTCTCTTCGCTTGGCACGCGCGCAGTTCTCGACAGAAGCGATCGGGAGAGGAACTCGGACGATCAGAGAGAGACGAGGGAGAAGTGTGAGACCCAATTCAGCGTTCGGTTCGATAATTCGCAACAAAAAAACGGCTGGTCAAACGTTCGGTCTCTCGGCAGAGACCCGCCGCCGCCGCCGCCGCCGTCGCCGTATTGCACGGATTTTATTGCCGGATATAATATTACAAGGAGTTACAACACGCGTCTTCGAGAGAGAGAGAGAGAGAAGAAAAAAAAAGTTCGCAACCGAATGAAGGTCTGAAGGTTCCTGGGAGAAACGAGAATTAGTTGGAGACGAGGCGAGGGATTTTTGACGCTCGACGAGAATCTCACGATCTCGGGGATAGAGAGAAAACCCGACGACGCTCTGCTCTGAACGTGCGAGAGAGAGATGTTTTCCAGGAACCGTCGCATAGGTAACCCAACCTTAGACCGAGTTGAGATGTGCGATTTTGAGGTTATGTGTTGTTGAATATAAGGGGAAAACGGGGTATTCGTTCCGGAGATTTGTGTCAAGCACAATCGCACGAAACGCGAAAAATCTAGACGAGAAATTCGCGGTGCGAGTCCCGTCCCCGGGACTCCGGGTATTTTGTTTTTTTTTTTGTTTTTTTTTTTTCTCTCCAAATTTGTTTAAAGATGCCGCGTCGATCCTATCGCCGCACGAGAATCGTATCGATTCGCTAAGAGACGGAGAGAGAACCGTTTTCTCCGTTGTCAAGAAAAAAAAAAAAATGCATTTTTGTGTTGCAACAATCCTCGGCAAAGTTGTCGGAGCGTTTTCGAAAAACGAAAACTGTTATTTTTAAAGCACCACGCACACGCAAATCTTGTATGTACATAAAAGTAAGAAACGAACAACGCAACTCGCATAGAACATAGTTTTTTTACATATAGTGAATTGCGAGAACCCAAGTCTATTTGAGAACGAATTTTATGGTGTGATTCCCAAGTGTGACTTATCTAAGCTTGTTCCAGTTGCTCTGTAACGATGCTGCTGCATTCAGTTGACGAACACACACATCAGATACTTAGTTCTCGTGATATGTAAAAAAAACAAAAAAAAAACAAACTGTATTTCGACGAGTTGCAGTTGCAAATGTACAGTCAACGCTGAGATGTACATAATTTGTTTATGTGCGTGTGTAAACATAATTTAACTTTACCGGAAATGCGTGCGTGCGTGCGTGTGTGTGTGTGTGTGTGTGAGTAAAATTTGAAAAACATTAGCATTAACGAACATTCACATTGCGTTTTTCACATTGCCGGTGTAGTGTTTAGTTTTTTGATTGAATCTTTCGTGACAGAAGTTCATGTGAATGGATAATGCTCGGAGGCAATGAACGGCATGGAGAGACATGGTCATGGACATGGACATTCGCATTCGCATTCGCACTCTCATCGTCATCGCCACTCTCATAGCAGTTCTCAGAGCAGCGCAACAGCGGTGCAGAACTCGAATCCACCGCCTCCTCCGAAACATAGCCACGGTCATGTGGCGCACTCGCAGAAAGAAACGTCTGCGCCCGCACCGCAAGCGGCACCGCAAAAACAGAGAAATTACAAGCTGTTGGTTGATCCCTTTTTAGTCAAGGGAGCCACAAAACTGTGCAGATATGACGGAACAGTTCCGGGTGATCCGACGTATCCGCAGGTTCAACCGCGGGATCCCAGATCGCAATTGACAAGGATTTGGACTCGGCTCGAGCTGCTCGATCTACCTGTACCTAGATTCAAAATCGATTCCAATTACTGTGGCGAACCGCCGCCACTCGAAGTATCATTTTGCAATTTAAATGACAATATTGACAAGACATTTTTGACAAACATGGTTCAGAAGTTTGGATCTATCGAGGAAGTTACTATTTATTATCATCCTATTACTAACAAACATCTTGGCATAGCAAGAGTACTGTTCGAATCTACTAAAGCGGCAAAAAGTTGTGTGGAAAAATTGAATAACACATCCGTAATGGGGAAAGAGTTGAGGGTGTTTCTAGATCCCTTCGGTGAGGAATGCAAGAAGATATTTGACGAGTTAACAACCGAGAAGAAGATAGAAAAAAAAGTAGAAAAAGAAGTGGCGAAGCCAGAACCTGAGCCGGAGAAACATCAAACACCAATTGTGGTCGATAAGGTCTTACCCGAAGAAAGAGAAGACTTCAGAAGTAGCAAGAAAACCATTCTAAACATAGAAAAGAACAGAGATCCTTATTTAGAGAATTCAAGATACAACAAGTACAGGGATTATCCCACACCGAGCGGCAGTTCGGGCAGTGATTTAGGTTATGGAACAGCGCCGAGCGAAATAAACTATTCTAGCAATTACTCTCAAAATTCAACCCCGGCTACGAATTATGACTATTATTATAGCAGTTATCATCAACCTCCTAATAGCTACTTAGCTGGCATACCGCAGAACGTGTCGCAGAATATACCAATTCAACAAAACTCAAATGTTTGGTGGAGCAACAATTCTGGAACAACGGGATATCCGTCATCGGCTCCTGTTTGGCCAGTTCAACAACATACTCCTAGTATGGACAGTGCTAATTCTAATGTAACATTGAGTAGTAATAAGACTTCAAGTACGAAAACAACACATCATACCTCTAAAAAGGAAAAGGAGAATCAGACAACTACCACAAAGAACACACCATGCGATTCTCCCGAAGAAACCCGTAAGACGTTGGATTTAGATACACGAATAGCCATGCTGTTGAAGGACAAGGCGGGCGGAATGGCTCCGCCTTTTTTGCAGTTCGGCAGCGACTCGGAAGATGACAAGAAATCTCAACAAGATGACGGCGAAATTCTGTCGAATCCACCTAGTCCTTTTCTATCGCACGAGATCTACAAACAGTGTTTTGAGAAAATGGTTGAAAGAAACAAGGAGCGCAGAAGAAAAGCTCAGGCAAATAGCATTGGCCAGTTTTCTGTGGACGAAGATTTGGGCAGCGTTATAAGTTCTAGTGAGGATGAGGCATTGTTAGGAAGTTACAGTCCAGCGCCTGATGACAATGAGCCAGAACCACCTAAAGACCCACCTCCTCCTCCGCCACCTGATGACGACCGAATGTCTTTGAGCCCTTTGAGTTCGGGAGATGAAAAAATCGAGGAAGTTAGTTTATTCACACGATTACATTTACACTGTAAACTTTTGCGCAAATGTTAATTTACATGTGCGCTTGTATGTTTGATAGGTGATAGCACAAACTGAACCCTCGAATCAATTGTATCCGTCAGCCGGTTACCCAGGACATCTGACTCACTATCCTTCCAACGACGTTTACAACTGGCCCCGACCAACGCAATATCCTTATCCTTATGGAGCGACTTACTTACAGGGCCACTATCAAACTGCAACGTCGTTCTCGGCGGCTGTTGGAAATCCTCAAGGGACAAATTATTATTCGTCTTTTCAGCGATTACACGCCATGGCAAATTACAACATCACAAAAGATCCACAGGTTATTAACTATTGCAACGAATGTGTAAATCTTCGATTTTGATTTTTCTTTTGACAGTTGTTTCATCTAAAACGTTCGTTGTTCAGGGCCCTACCATTACTGGAGTGCTTAACAGAGTTGTAAACGAACTGAAGCAAATTTTGAAGAAAGATTTTAACAAGAAAATGATCGAGAATACGGCGTTCAAACAGTTCGAGGTTTGGTGGGATGAGAAGAAATCGGAGAAGAATCAAGTTCACGGTGAAAATGCGGTTGTTAATAACACAATAAAAGAGGATGGAAAACCACAAGGTTTGTCATCGTTGTTGGAGCAAGCAACACCGTTAGGACTCAATTACGACGGATTTGGTTTGGGTATTAGAGCCAGTATGCCAAAGATGCCTTCCTTTAGGGTAAGAAAATTTCACTCTAACAATCACTTGTAAATTGATTTATCTTCGATAAATCACGCGTCTGTTTATTTATCTGCAGCGCAAGATTAAAGCTCCAAGCCCAGTACCACAGGATGAGGACAGCCGACAATCCTGTCACGCTGATATGGAAACAATTGAGAGTGACAGCGATCTGGAGGTGTCAACGTCGCAAAAAACAAAGAAGACAATGGCTTCTCTTCGGAACATCTCTTCATCGTCAACTCCTTCCGCCTCATCTCTCGAAAGTAGTAGCGAAGAGATCAGTTCCAGTGAATCTTCCGATAGTTCAAATGAAAGTTCCGACGAAGAGGGTGCTTTTGAAGACGAGGTACGTACCAAGCGAATAAAGGATTCAATATACTTTCGCGTGTGTTCAATATAATGATTTATGTTACATAAAAATTTGTTTTTAATTTTTGTAGCAAGACACAGATAGTCGCATGTCCGATCATAGACCCTTGGCCTGTAACAGTGAGGATCCCGACATATTGACAGAACTCGCGATACAGAGGTCGCTAGATTGTCCCACTCCGACTGGCAGAGAAACGCCGGTGCCCGATATCAAAATTAAAGATCAAAACTCGATCGAATTCCCAGAAATCGATAACGAAAGTTTGGATACTCCGTTGTGTTCGCCCGCGAGATACGAGGGTGTCAAGGAAGAAGAAAGAGTATCCGTAAAACTGCCTGTCGCGGAAGAAAAGCCGTATCACGCGTACAAAACTGTGGACAAGCAGGTGTCTAAGATCGTCGATGAGAAAGAGAACGAGGTGAAATCTGTAGCAACGTTAGCGAAGGAAGAAGCGCTACCGGACATACAGAAGATGGAGAATTCGGCCGCGGAAGCTCTGATAACTCTGGCCGGCCAGGATAACATCATACGTCACAGAAGTCCCGGCCCCGTGCAACCGAATATTATCAGAGCGTTGCAGACAATGTCGGATAAGTACATCAACGACGAGCCTATTTTGAAAGAAAACGAGAAGATCGAAATGTTCAGCGAGATTCCGACAACCGATTCCGAGGAGGAAAGCTTAGAAATACGAAGAATAAGGTTGGTAATCGGTTTTTGTAATAAATTTTTTATGCACATCGATTATTGTGTGTCAATCTACGTATGAAATCTATAAAATAGGTATCAAGCGGAGGCGGACTTCCGATTGAACGGCCAGCGAACACCGAGTTCACCTGGTTCTCAGGCCTCGCAAGTGTATATGGAACACTCGTACTCGTTGCCACCTGCACAACCGGAGCCACCAGTAGAACCGGTGATACGTGTACCGCCTGTCCCGGTGAAGGTGAAACAACAGAAAATTATCAAACCGACGAAAGGACCAAAAGACAAGATACACAAGGTGGAGAAACAAAAGTCCAAAAAGTACTCGAGAATACACAGTAACAATCACCAGACTCGCGAGGGCGAAAAGGAAAATATACGGAACGATCACGTGTACAAATTGCCACAGCAAATGGTTCCGGAGCCTGCGGTCACTTACAAAGAACGTGATCTTATGTCGGAAATGGCTATTTTGTATGAATTTCTAACCAGAGGAATAGACGCGGAGGATGTGGAATATCTGAGAAGAAGTTATGAGGCTTTGTTAGCGGACGACGCTCAAGGTTACTGGCTGAACGACACGCACTGGGTCGACCATCCGCCTACGGATATACCGAGCCCCGCGAAGAAGCGGAAACGGGACGAGCTTCGGTTGCACGCGAGCGGAAGCGCGAGAACGGAGGGGTATTACAAAGTTGACATCAGAGAGAAGGCAAAACACAAGGTAAAAATTTGTTTATCCACTTTCCAAACATCTGTTTGAAGTTTTAACGGGAGATGATTGTGAGTAATCAAATTGTTTTCTTTGCAGCATCACTATGCTCAAAGTGAGCAACGTACCAACAACGTGGAGGACAACGGCGGTTCTTACATCGGCGGAGACGGTCCGATGAACGGTCCGAAGAGCAATTCCAAAGCTTTAACCGGCAAGATGCAAGCGTTATCGCGCGAGGCGCGAAGTAATCAACGTCGATTACTGACTGCTTTCGGAATTGATACGGATAGTGATCTCCTTAAGTTTAATCAATTAAAGGTAAGATATGTATGTATATATATATATATATATATATATTGCGCGATTTTAAATGTCTCATTGTTTTGTTGAATTGAACAAATTATCACGTCGTGTTTTCGTTTGTAGTTCCGTAAAAAACAACTGAAATTCGCCAAGTCCGGCATCCACGACTGGGGCCTGTTCGCGATGGAACCAATCGCCGCCGACGAAATGGTTATCGAGTACGTTGGACAAATGATCAGACCGATCGTGGCCGATTTACGCGAGGCGCAATACGAAGCCACTGGAATTGGTAGTTCCTACCTCTTCCGCATCGATCTGGACACGATTATCGATGCGACCAAGTGTGGCAATTTGGCGAGGTTCATAAATCACAGTTGCAATGTGAGTCATTTATCGATTTCTTTAAACCTTGCTTGTGCAATAAATACTTGAGAGTTGTGAAATGATGATATTAAGTGGTTTGGAGATTGAGAAATACACGTGCTCGGGGTTCTAGTTTATTTCAATTTCCTTGTCTGTTTCTCTTCCAGCCGAATTGTTACGCAAAAGTAATCACGATCGAGAGCCAAAAGAAGATCGTAATCTACAGCAAACAACCGATAGGAGTTAACGAGGAAATTACTTACGATTATAAATTCCCATTGGAGGATGACAAAATCCCTTGCCTTTGCGGAGCTCCTCAGTGTCGGGGTACCCTCAACTGAATTGTTCATTCTTTTTCCGGTCTTCTACACTTCGTCGCGGTTCCTTCTACTCATATTTTTGTAAATATTTCCCCATGTAAACATTTTATAAAAATGCAATTGAAAAACACATTAAGTTATGTTAATAACGCGCGTTCTTCCTACTTTATTATTAAAAAAAAAAAAAAAAAGAAAAAAAAGAATCCTTTTAATCTAGGAATGTGTGTGAGCGAATATTTGGAAGCAAATGAAAAAAACAAATATATAAAACTATTATCATCGTCCTGTTAGTATTATTTTTACATAAATGTCTGATTTCTATTATTTGTCATCGGATGTTGTATAAAAGTTATGTATATAAACTACTGAGTAATTTTTTTTTCTTTCTTTTGTAACGACGCGAGAAAGGATCCCTGATCCTTGCCAACAAAATGTGTTTTCGGAATCTTTGAATTGGCTGTTAGAGAGTTCTCTGAAGGACTCTGGCCTGGCCAATCAAGGAGGATTTGGAAGAAATTTTGATAAAACCAAATCAGCGACTCTTTTACCGTTACCGACATGAGTGACATCATCGGAACAAGAATAAATAAAGAATGGACAAACGCATAAAAGAGGTTATGTCTCACCAAGGTCTCTCTCTCGAGCTTCATCTGCTGCGATTGGTCGATGCGGCTGATCGATCAACGTTACTGGTCAATTCCGACTGGTACGGCTGCTGGAACGACGTAGGATTTGTCTTTGTTCTCTCAGGAGAAAACCGAGAAACTACGCAATTAACGAACAATCGACAAAAGATCAAAGGATGATCCACTGATTTAATTTATTACGTTTCATCCGCGACTTTCCTGTCGCTCCCTCCTGTCGTCTCCTTCTCCTTCGACGACGATGCGAGAGGATTCCTGCAACGCGCCGAGGGGAAAAATAACAAATTTTATTTTTTTATACTTTCTACTCGCACGTACAAGAGAAACGGAGAAATTCGTAATTATTGCATAATCTCTTTATATCCAGTTGATTAATACAAATCGGTCTGATTTTATTATTAACTCGCTTACCGTTTTTCGCAGAATATCGGATGGAACATAGCGGAATTATTATTTTTTTTTTTTTCTGTGTCTCAGGAATCACGCACGAGAGAGTGCGCATTACATCATCTCGGTGACGCAATATAATCTCTTCAATTCGCGTGCGTGTGTATGTATAATTCTCCTTTATTATTATTATTATAATAAACGCTTTCTCTCGAAAAAGAAGAGCCTCTCTCTCTCTCTCTCTCTTGCTCTCTCTCTCTCTCTCTCTCACACACTACCGTCGTGTAGTCGATCGCGTACTAAATTTTTATTAATCTATCGTACATTTTTATACATATTGAGCGCATCGTCAGAGACGTGTGTGTGTGTGTACGCGCGCGCGCGCGCGCACGTATATGTAAGACAGAAAAATTGTCACACATATTTATGGAAAACGCGTCCCGATGGAACTTCTTTTCACGCTACTCATCATCGCGCGATGCAAACTTCTCTATCTTATACAATTTTTATGTAGTAAGTAAAAAAAATCAAACGTTAACGAGAGAAGGAATCCGAGCGAAAACGCGCTCCGGACTTTGTGGTTCGTGTGTCTCGAGAAAAATAAACTATCTGATATTCTTTACAGTTTCGCGCAAGAACGGAAGTACGTATGCAGACAAGGTGTACACAACGCTACGTCGTTTTATAAACGCAATTGCACATGAAGAATGAGAGACGGATCGGAGCGAAGGATATTTTACTCGGTGCTTCAATCGTGTTGGATCACCCAATCTCTGTGTATGCATCGCTGCTTTATGTATTTTCTATTATGCGACAAGAGGAATCAAATTTGATGATCGAAGGGGAGAGACTCGTCCTTACAAATGTATAGCTTCTCTCTCTCTCTTTCTCTCTCTCTCTCTCTCCTCTCGCTTGCGTGATTATTTCTCACTCACTCGCCACATGCGCGCGTACATTCTCTCTTTTTCTCTCGTGAAAAAGATGTGTGTCTGTGAAAACGCACAGGTACAACGCATGCAATAATTTTCTTTTTTTTTGTTTTAAGCAATATGACGTACGCAAACTGTGTGTGTTTCGGACGTCGCGTGTCGTATGTTTCTCAATGACAATGCGTTTTTTTTTTTTTTTTTTGCGTATAAATATTATGTGTATGTACATGTGTATGCGCGTCACGGTAGCACTTCTTTCCGTGTTTGACCGAGGTGAAAAATGTGAATCTTTTCAGGAAAATGTATGAGAAACGCACACACACACCAGGGTGACGAGGGCGCGAAGAGGGAAAGAAAGTTGCGCGGAGAGAAGAAACGCTCGCGCGAAAGCAGAACCCGAAGAATGTAAAGAAAGGAGCGCATACAATACGGGAATCAAAACACGTGGAAGTCCCTGCACAAGCAAGAGAACACACTGTCGCTCACATTTTTATCTCTGAGTTTTGCAGGTATTAGCACGCAAATTTTTTCATACCGCGAAGTAAGAAACTATCTTAGCGGGATTGTGTAGCAATATAAAAAAAAAAAAAAAAAAAAAAAAAAAAAAAAAAAAAATCGCAAGCGAGATCAAATCGCGTCTGCTGTTACAGAGTAGATAGGAAAAACTTTAGTTTCCTCTTTTAACATCACAAGCAGAGATATGGTGAGGTAACATGCACGCACAAGCGGGTAAATGGCGATGGCGTAAAGACAGTCGCTGTGTAAAAAAAAAAAAAAAAAAAAAAAAAAAAAAAAAAAAACAAACAAAAAAAGAGAGAAGGATCTTGTCCTCTTCCCTTTCGTGCAATCCAAGTGCATCGCACAAGCCGGCAAAAAAATAAAAGTGGAAATATATTTTCGGAACTTTTCTTTGTTTTTTAATAATCATATAACAATACTTGCTATATTCACGATCAACATACATCATTTTTACGTCTTATCTATATGTTGCAAATCTTATACACATAAAAAAGATATTCGCGTTCTTGTAATTTCTAAAATTATAAAAAGGACAGTAGCAAAAACCTCGCGGATGTGCTGTCAAACGTCATTACACGTCAACGTTTCGTGTTAATTTTTTTCTTTCTTTCTTTTTTTCTCCTTTTTTAACGCTTAAAACACGATCATCGGTTAAAAAAGGTAGTCCGATAGCGAGAGATTTGTGTATACGTACAATAAAACATAACTAAAGTTTTTTCTACGTCACTCTGCGGCTCTTCCGGGGCGGTTAGCGGTCGAAGTGTCGTCGTCGAGCAAAGGGAAGGAACGTATTGCATTATCGTAATTATAATAATTCTAATTCATTAAATTATATATCGTGTGTGTATATATATATAAATATATATAATCGTCGTAAATCATCGTATTATCACCATCATCGGCATCACGTCACGTGTGTGCAATTCTCTTATCACGAACGACGAAAGTGGTTTAGTGCACTATCGCGGAAGGACGAGAGTGCAACACGACAAGAGGAAGAAAGACGAATAAAATTTTACAAAAGAAACAAAAAAAATAAAAAAAAAACAAACAAAAGAAGACAAAAGAAACAACCACCGTCTTCCCCCTCTTTCGCTTTCGGTAGTATTATTACTTCGTAAAATGGGAGGGACTGGAGGGAGAAACGTTTCCATTATGCATCTCATATTTAATCTTTAATTAGATAATTAATTCACTATTTACGAAAAGTCATAATAAAAAGTAGTACTCTATATATATATATATTCAGTATTTCAATATTAATAATATTGTAATAATAATAATAATAATAATAATTATCATATTCCAATAGCTTTGTTTTGCAGTTATCATCTAACATGGATAATTCATTAATTACCATTGCGCGCGCGCGCGCGCGCGTACGTGTGTGTGTGGTGAGTGTAGGTGTGTGTGTAAAGTGTATGACAGTAATGGTGTGTAAAGTGTGTGACAGACCGCGGCCTATATTCCTTGTCTCTCCGCAACATAGAGAGGTTCGATATATTATATATATATATATATATATATATATCTCGTGTGTGCATATTTATATATACATATACACATATCAAAAGATATGTGTATACATATCTATCTGAAGAAAAAAAAAACAAATAGAATAGTGTACAATATATGCATTTATGTACGTCTAGCGTTGCATATGTCATTCATCTTCTTTCTCTCGCTCGCGTTCGCACTCTTTCTCTCTCTCTCTCTTCCTTTCTTTTCGTTTACAATAGTAAATCTCGCTGCGAACGTCTCGCGCACCAACGTCGATTTTTTTTTTTCTCTCCTCGTTCCTCCCTCGATGTACAAGCAACTCTTCCGCACAGTTTGTTCGATACCGACCGCGTTTCTCTAATCGATCCTCGCAAAAAAACACCACTTTCCTTTCTTGCTTGCCTTCCTCTTCCGCAAAGACAAGACGGGGAGAGGAGGGGGGCGGAAATCAGGAACGTCGAGGTGTCGTAATTCCGTCGTCGAAATGGAGCACAAAAAAAAAGTTGCATGTACAACGTCTTCTCATTGACCGCGTTGTGGAAACCCGAGCGCTTTATTATTGGCAAGTGCTTTTGTGATTATTGCTCGTAACTGGCGTGTAATACTTTACACAAATTTGCAATAGATCTAAGAGAAACTAAGCCATTTGCGAACGATAAATGCACAAAGCGCTCAAGTTCCCCAAACGCACGGAATTGTTCGTTTTTTCATCATTTCTGATCGGATGACGACCACGTTGGCACGCCCGACGTTCGCGTATATGTTCGCGTGCTTTCTCTCTCTCTCTCTCTTTCTCTTTCTCTGTCAAGTTCATCGCTACACAGAGAAATTACGCCCAACTTTCAGATTTACAACACCGCCCTAGAGAAACACAGCCATACTAAGCCAAATACTTTTGGATTTTTTTTTTTTTTTTATGGTCTCTCACTTCTTCCTCTTTTTCGCTAAATGAAGAGTTTCGTCCATTTCGCTCAATTACCGTGATCTTTCGTACTTTTGCGGTCTTTGTCGTATCGATACCCTCGCTCTCGATTCTCGCTATTAGAATTTAATTTAAAAAAAACAAAAAAAAAAAAAAAAGGGAAAAAGAAAAGAGACGAAAAGAAAGGAAAGAAAAGAAAAATCCGTACACGCAAGAGATGCGCCGCATAATCCCGCACGCGATTTTCCGCAGAGATCCTGGCAGATCGTCGAAGTGATTTCGCCGAACAATTAACGCACACACGCGTCGATTATCGAGAATTTTTAATTAATTAACAAGGAGAGAGACCGCGTCGGTTTTGGGAACAAATTTGCACTCGACCAAGGTCGACCGCTGGCCTTGATCGAGTCCCGCGCCGAATTTCGTTTTAATTTTTCCCCCCCTTTTTTTAACTCGATTAATCCGCGACAGTGACGTTTAACAAGGAGCACAATGCCGAATTTCGACCTTTGAAATTTGTGGCGCATCGATGTGTATATCATACGCGAGTGTACGTAAGCGAAGGCAATTGTGTCAGCGTGTGCGTGTGCTGCACGCGAATACATTGCGCGTGTTTTCAAGTGGTGGTGTTAAATCTACTTAATTATATTTATTAATGGTAATTTTTTTTTGTTTTCAGGTGAAGCAGCTTCCAGCTTGTACCTCGAAAATTAGAAATATCCGTTTTTAGTTTTACGTTTTAGCGTGAAATTTAACGGTGGCGGTTACGTGTGTAAGTGTGTGTGTGTGTGCGCGAGCGTATGTCTGTAGTGTCGATCTCTTTTATTCCGATTACGTTTCTCTTGTTCCTTCAATCGTCCGTCGGCCTAAGTGTTTTACGCGATTTAGCTACATTATACAAAGTTTTTTTTTTTTTATGCGTATTTCAAAAATATCCGACGTCACACATCCGATGTCTCACATGTGCGTTGCACGCGCGCATAGTCCATCCTGCGTTCATATATTATACTAGATCATTGTTTCGTTTGTTTTTTTTTTTTTTTTATTATTTCTTAAATAGAGGGTGGTGAAGAAAGTGACGGAGAAAACGGGCAGATGGTCGGGCGGAGGGAGAGGAGAAATTTTACGCTTAGAGCTTTGCTATATGATACAACAACACTGGCAATATAGTCTCACGTAATGTGGTTCGGGTGTTTTTTTGTACGCGGGTCTTTTTCCTCGTTTTCTTTTTGCTCTAAACCCGTGTGTGTTAATATATAAATGACGCGCGTAATTGTAAATCGACGACGTCCCTCTCTCGCTTTTCCGCAAACATCTTTCGCAATAGATTTATGTATGAATTGATCGTAGTAATAGACTAATTTATGTTGTGTGATAATAATATATATTATATAATTATGTATAATATTATATATATATATATATGTATGTATATATATATAATATATATATATATAATAAATCGATAATGGGAAAATTAATATACCGTTGTATCGTAATTAATTAATATTTACAAGAGTTTTATACGCGAGGGCCCGCTATTCGGATATAACGCATCCTCATAGATACATTTTGATTAGACTGTACAAGCGCAAGTGGACCCTCAAATTGGAAAAGAATTTTTTTTTCTCTCTCTCTCTCTCATCAAAATTAACATTTTTTTTTTTTTAATATAAACCTCCCCGGCGCACACTATGTGTTTGTAAATTTATTTATTTATTTTTTTTGGTTATGATAAACATTTAATTTGTTGATAGGCGATCCCTTCAACGGGACACACAGCTGTGGGCGGATAGCCCTTCCCCCTATTCGTCTCCCTTTTTTTATCCCTTTATTCCCAAGAGGATCGCCGTCGTGTGCTCAACTCGACTCAGACGGCTCAGCCAGCGTTCGAGAGCGTGCAGAGTGTATAATATTATTCCGCGAAAAAATTCGTAAAATTGTTCATATTACCTCTTCTTTCAGCGGCGCGCGCTTAGGGTTTTATTTTCTTCATAATAACAAATACTCTCTTTAAACGAATATATATTACTTAACGTATGATTTAGATTATAATTTTTCTTTTTTTCTTGTACATATAACGCTACTAAATAGATTATTCCTACCTACATTATTATTTTTTTTTTTTCCATATAAGTCTGTGTTTTATATAATTTGCATTATTTTCTGTCTCTCTCTCTCTCACTCTCTCTATCTCTTTCTCTCTCGCTCTCTCTCTCTCTTTCTCTCATACGCATGATACAGTAATATTAATATATTGGTACATAAGAATACAATTACGATAATATTAATTTACGTCTAATAATATTTTAACTATCAATTATTATAATTAAGTTAAATATAGACAACATATATATATATGTATGTGTATTTATATATATATATATATGGTTTTTGTACGATTTCACTCACCCAGCACGGGCAGCAGCAAAGGAGAGTGGTAATATAGGTGTCGAACAGACGTCCGGAGGTTATTTTACGAGATACGCAATAAGTTTCTCGATAGTTTTGTTTGTTCTGAATGGTTTTCATTCCTTCCGGTCGCGATTTTTCTCTCTCTCTCTCTTTCTCTCTCTCGACCAAGTACGAAAAAACACATGTAATTTTTGAGTCTATTTGAGCCAGGCCGAGCAGCAGTGAAAAAAGCACCAGCACGTTGCATAGTCTCTCTTTTCTCTCGACGATCACGTAGCGTAAAAGATCGAAAGAGAAGGAACGCGTGCGCGAGCGACTCGAGCGTCGCGATGTAATAGGGGATTCCCTCCCCGGTCTTGTGAAGAAAATGAAAAATCAACCACGATCAAATGAAAAAAAGCTCGACGGGACGCGTTTGTCAAGCATTCCTTTTTAAGTTCTTTCAGTTTCTACTCGCACGAGCGCGCGCGCGCGAAAGAGCTTAAATTATCTAATGGTATCGTCGTTCCGCTTTAATTACATTTCGTTATAAATTACGCGACGGGGACGAGCGTGGTCGTCTGAGCGCCGTCGTCGTCGTCTCGTTGAAGGGAATCACTTACATAACCATCGACCGATGTGATCGTCCGTAACAGTCACTACAACCCCTCGACGAATTTAGAGAGTTGGTCCTGTGGCGTCATCGGTGTTACCTCGTTGGCGTCAGCGCCGCCGTTCGTGGGCGCCGGCGCCGGCGAGGGATGGTGGGGCATGGTAGCGGGATGTCCGGTGGGCGCACCGGCACCTCCGCTCAGCTGCGAGAGCATCATCTCGCTGGGACCGCCGCCGAGCTCGTGTGCTGGTGAGTGCGTGGGCGTGCCGTGTGGTGGATGATGGTGTGGCGACGGCACGGGACCCGACCGCGGCGACGGTACCGGCTGATTGCGGGGCGAGGGAACTGGTCGTGGCGAGGGATTGGGCTGCGGGGAACGAATTGGCGGCGGCGAACGCACCGATTGCATCAGCTGTTGTTGGACTGAGATCCCAGGCGGGCCCATGACGCCTTGCGGCGACGGTACCGGCGGCGGAGTAGGTTTCAGTCCCGGCTGACCGTATCCCTGCTCGTTGAAACCACCGTAACCTGGGAATTTTTGCAATCGTTGGTGTCGATTCAACATGCCCCTTAATATTGCCTCTTCGTTGGATAATATATAAGGAGATGTGTATGGCATGTATCGGTTACCCAGAAGCGACGGCCGTATAGGCCGCTGTTGCCCGTACGGCGGCGCAGGCGGCTGCGTGAACTGTTGTTGCGGCTGCTGCTGCAGCGGCTGCGGCTGTTGTTGTTGTTGTTGTTGCTGCTGCTGCTGCTGAGCCGCCGCCGCTGCCGCTGCCGCCTGCTGCTGCCGTTGTTGTTGCATTTGTACAAGCATCTGCTGCTTATACTGCCATTGCTGCTGTATCGCTGCTGGTTGCTGCTGTTGTGCCTGTTGAGTTAACATCGCCTGTATTTGAAGTCTACCCTGCTGTTGTTGCTGCTGCTGCGCCTGTTGCTGCTGTTGTTGAGGCTGCTGTTGTTGAGACATCATATGCAAACCAGCTTGTTGTTGCTGCTGCTGCTGTTGAGGTTGCGTAGAACCCAATGGTCCGCCGACTCCCCCACCATGCTGACCAGGTTGTTGCTGAAGGGCAAGCGCCTTTTTTTTATTAAACAGATATAATAGATCAAATCTGCGTAGGTAGAGTAATAACCGCGAAACACACATTACCAAACCGCGTTTTCAATCAAACGCAACCGTTAATAAATTTTCTGATAAATAATGCTAAGCGCTTCATTCATACTAAAAATAATTTACAAACAGGTAGCAAAAAAAGAAAAAAACGGTTGCAATCTGCTGAATACGGTCTATTTTTTTAAAAGTATACACATTCGCTTACCCGCTGTTTGATGAAAGCAGCCATTAAAGGCGGATTGCTCTTGAGTATTTGTAGTATTTGGTTCTGCTGCTCGTTCGAATGTGGACTTCGAAGAGTTTGCATTAGTTGTTGGAGAGCATGCTTCTGTGCATTGCTTTGTTGCGAACCGACCTGTGCGACTGGCCCAATTACACCTGGCTGTCGCGGCATTTGCGTGCTCATCCCCATACCCGGTTGAGCCTGATGTTGTTGTTGTTGTTGTTGCATCAACTGTTGTGGCGTCTGTTGCCGCGCCAGATTAGGATTTTGCATCACAGCGTTGGGTTGGTACCTGCTACAAAAATATTAAAAAAAACCATGCATGAGTATTACGCGGTTACAACAACTTGTAACAAAATAACCCAAACAGGAGTTAACAATTACCTTGTAGATAAAGTGTTACCTACAAGGTAATTACCTACCTCCATTGATCCATGGGTATGAGATGCGTGCTACCGGGATTCGGCATCTGTACTGGCAGTGGACGTTGCATTTGCGGTGGCGGCATCACGCCGCTCGTTTGACCGCTTACGCCAACGCCCACGCCTACTCCGGCACCCGGTGTTACTTTGCCATAACCGACATGTGGTGCCTGTTGTCTAGCAGCCTCCTCCTGCACTTGCTTTACCACTTGTAATACATGAGCGGGAGGAGTTTGAGTGCCTGGTTTGAGACCGATACCAGGTGGATGAGGAGAAGGAAGATTTGAACTGCTAACGCCGGGTTTCATGGCGACTCCTGTCGTCATAGCAACATTCGACGTCTGCTGACCGGTTTGCATCGCCCCTACAGGTCCGGTCGGTCTTGTGTTCATCACAGCCATTCGTCTCCTATACGGGTGAAAATTACAATAATTAGTCAACAAAAACTTTCAATAAAGAGCTTTTTAAGATATATTTCATTGTAACATTCGAACAAGGAAATATACGCGAAGACGTTTAACAGTTCTACTGACCTAAGCAACTGCGCCTGCTGCAAACGCTGCTGCAATTGTTGTTGTTTTATTTTGTGTTTGATGTTGGAGCAGAATGGGACGGGACATTTTGTTTCCTGGCAGTGTTTCGCATGATAACAGCATAACGCAATCAATTGTTTGCAGATAGGACAGCCACCATTTGTCTTCCTCTTGCAATTCTTTGTGTGCATGACCACTCGTTTCATCCTTTGACAGCTGGGCAAACGGCAATTAGCGTCTCTACATTGGCAGCCGTGCACCAATGATTGAATGCACCTTTGTATCGACAATTTCCGCGCTTCCTGTGTTATGAAAAGAAAAAAAAAAAGAATAATATTATACATATATGTTTTGCATATAAATTTATATCTATTTATTTAAGCTTTTTTGAATAGTTTTTTTTCTTTTTAAAGTAGACTCGTCAATTACCTGTGGATTTGTTTGTTTGGTGTCATTTGGCGATGATCCATCATCCAAATCAAAGCCAAGTTTCTCCATTGGATGTGGATGTCCATCTTTATCTTTACAACTTACACATAAATCGAAATCCTGTAACAAAGAGCAACATTAAAGCATTGCTGTGATGAATCTTTGTTCTCAAAAACAAAAAATTTAATACGTACATCACAAACTGTACAATGATATCTGGTTTCTACATGACTCTTGCAATTATTGCAAGTGTAAACAAATTTGTCTTGGCCTTGATTATGTAGCTCATAAAGCATTGACATAGAGCTAAATTTCGCTCTTCTCAATGATGAAAACTCGTAATGCCTTTCTCTCGCCAGTGTGAGAAAGGCGTCTCGACCGTCCATCAGATCACAATTGATAACAGGATCAGGATCTTGGATTGGCTGGAGATAAGATAAGATAATGTCAAACGGTTGCATGTAAAACTATAAAAATCTAAAAAAATGGTACTTAAGATAAAAAAAAAAAAAAACTCACAGCTAAACTGGCCGCACTTTGAGCACTGTGCAACCTAATGACGAAAAATACTTCTTTGTGCTTTTCCATGGTGGTAAATATTTTCGCGGAAAGATCATTGCCAGTCTGAGGGGTATTCGACTTTTTGCTGTTCTTTCTTTGATTTGCTTTGGACTTGTTGGATTTCTTTGCCTTTTTCTGGCCCTTCTTCTTACCGTCTGGAGTTTCCGAGTCCTCGGTTAACGAAAATATCTAAAGTGACATAGAAAATATAAACACATGTAAAAGACAAGGAAATCGATTATATTGTGCAAATATTACGTATCGTTTAATTTTCCACAACTCACATTTGCAGCCGCTGCGGCGGCCTCTGCCGCTTCAGCTTGCTTGCGCTTCTCCTCCTCCTCTTGATCTAATTCTTTGATGCTTTCTTCTAACACGTTCGGCCAAAAGTCACCTTCAAAGTACGGTAAATCTGCCGCGGACGTAAGCTTGTCCTCCATGGCTTGTTTCAGAATGTCCTGCGTACAAAACATTTTACTCGCATGTTTTCTTTTTTTGCACAAACATGTGAATAAATAAATACAAATTTTTATAACGAAGAAGTGTCGTCTACAATTCCTATGTTCACTGTCAAAAATGTAACAAAAACATTAGCTTTAGTAGACGTTTATCTAAGTCTCGTTTGACTCCGATACGATATTACGACACGTACCGGAAACACAGGAGACTAAATGAGAAAACGTTTCATGTAAATATATTTCTCGCTAACCTTATAGTCGAGCACGATCCTCTCGACCATTCCTTTGTCCAACATTTTCTTGTACCACTCCTGTAATCTCTTAGGCTTTGGTATTTTTTGTTCTGCGGGGTGGCAGTGGAAGATATAATCGTCCCCTTCGGAAGGAGGACACGCCCAAATATGAGCCATAGTGTATCTACACAAATAAAAACACGTACATGAAATCAAATGCGTTATAAAAAGTTATTTTACTTCTTTTGTCGCTCAATTAACAACTGAACTTACCCAAGTTGCTTCGCATAGTCGAGATATCCGAGAAGAATCTCGTGATATACGGCCGTTCGAAACTGTCTAGGCCGAAAGAAGTGAACCGAGTCCAAATACGCGATGTAAACACGTCTGGTGTTCGGCGGTGTGCATTCGCTCCCGTATTCTTGCACGTGCATGCCGAAAAAACAGACGTCGGTGCCGTCGACCTCTTCAAATGCGAACAACGCTTTCGCGCGGTAAGGAAATTCGCCGGGCATATCGCCGTTCTCGACAAATCTACTTCTCATTCCGGGTTTGACCTCGACCACTTTGTCGCTGGACGCGACAACTCTGATTGCAACCTCACCCGCACCGGCTTCTTTCTTCTTCAGGAAATTGTTCACGCGCGTCTCGATGTACGTGCCGAGTTTCGTTACGGGCAATCGTTTAGCGTTGAACTTATTCTCTTTGCGTTTCTGTCCTTTTTTCTTCAAGCAATTATCACAGGTAAATCTGCATTAAGAGATCAAACATTTGAGTAATGCAAAAATAATTTTCTCGTTCTTGTCATCTTTCGGTTAAAATAAAAAAAAAAAAAAAAAATTTATAGTTTTATCATCAGATATTTACCCTAATGGCCAGATTGCTTCTAAATGAAGTACACAAATTTGATGTACTCTCCTACCGCAATCCGTGCAAGTAACAAAAGGTTCCAATTCTAAATGGTCATTCTTCATCTCCTGGAACTGTTCTTTTTTGATGGTACTGAAGAAAAAATGTTACATTTACAATATACGTCAAAATCAATGTAACATCGATCATTGAAATTTAATCTTCTCATGTACTCACGTTTGCGGCTGCGTTGGATCGTCTCCTAACGTAACTGTGTCTCCAGGAATGTCGTTGAAACATTTCTGACAGAAGGTGTATCTATCGGAAGCAAGACCATATCCCTTTAGAAGACTGCTATTATGTCATCGGCGACGTGCATTTTGTTTTTTGTTTTTTTTTTATATACGTGAATTCGTTGAACGACGATGAATTTACTCGATCCAAGTTTCGAGTATCGTCGATTTTTGACAAGTATTTGTGTGTTTTATTTACATAAGTTCGATTGTTCATAATTACACATGCATCCAATCACCAATTGTATTTTTTATTTTTTATTTTTTTCATATCCGATTTTGGATTTTGTTTCAATTTTATCGTGCGAAGACATCGTTTGTTTTTTGTTTTTTTTTTTAGATTAGCATTTTCCAAGTATCAATTTTTCGCAGTAGTAGTAGTAGTAGTAGTAGAAGAGTCGGAAAGAAGTAAGAGCGCAGGCAACACAACAAGAAAAAAACAGCAAACAAGGATTTGTGTGCGCAACCCATGGATGAAGATAACATACAAAGAAGAGAACAGTGCCAATGTTAGATAAATAAATAATTATAAACGTAAAACAAACTTAATCTTATAAACGAATTTACGCAAATTTCGTGAGTTTTTCGTGCAACAGAAAGTTTTGCACGTACATAAATCTCGTGTGTATAATTTTTTTGAGAAATGTAGATCAGAGGACTGACCTGCTTTTGCATTGTTGCCAAAAGCAAGTTAATTAATCTGCCTTATTTAATCTAGCGTATTCAACCAAAAGACGCTTGAATAAAAAAAAAGCGACCGTTCAAATTGAACACGCGGGAATCACACAATTTCAAACTACTCGAAAATTAAAATGCCCAAACTACTCAAAATGTTTGCAATCGGTTTAAAATTCGTCCTCCACCTGAATTAAAAATCTCTCTCTCTCTCTCGATGTTTGCATCGAAATTACTGACCTGTTTTGATAAGAATAATACTTTGCGTCTCTCGGTATCGTGCAAAGCTGCTTGCCGTAGCAACAGAGAACCTGCGGATTGAACGTGTACTTTCTGCCACAGCAATATCCTAAGGCCTGCATCACAGGATCTATTTCTTGTTCAAATACTTCCGAGAGCTGCATTTAACAAGAAAATAAGAGTGCGTTAAATAAAGCTTAAAATGTTTTTCATAACTATGTGCGTGTACAGATTGATTTACTATTTTGTGTTATTTTTTTTTATATTCAACATACGTTTTGTTCTTGATACATATTAATTTCTCAATGTTACCTTGGTACAATATCTGTAGACACGAGATGTCTTGCGATTGTAGAGCCAGGCATTGTCGAACATCATCCACACGTCATCGACGTACTCCCAGGGATCGCTGTACTTTTCTGTGTCGAGTTTCTTCTTGATAGTGGACAAATCCATCGGCTTCTTCACGATAGTTGGATAATCCGGTATTCCCAACGCTTGCGGGTCCACGGGTTGTCTAAAAGGTATGGACTCGGGATCTTGTCGATACAACTTTTCCAATGTAGGCATCAACGCCTGACGCAACTCGTCCGGTTTAAACAAGCATTTCTTCTTATCGGTGAACGTGCCGCTCGGTTGTATCGGCTCCGGCACCATCGGCTTGATATCAGAGGCAGTCGTGTCTTGACTAGACACCGGGGTCATGCTCTCTTCTTTGATACTTGCAGGTTCTTCCTTCATAGTCGCCTCATTCGATCCCTCCTCCATCGGTTCGGTTTTCGGCTCGGTTTTAATGATAATCTCATTGTTAACGCTTTTGCCGCTGTCCATTCTGTGATTTTGCGTATCGTCCGATGACTCTTGTTTAATTTCCATTTTAATACCTTCATCCTTGATCGAATCCAATTTACCCTTGTTGTTGTTCATTGGCGGACTAGGCGAGTTGTCGTGATCCAATGCCGCTGTGATAGCAGCCATTTGCGAGGACATAGACGTGCTGCGCGGAGTGTTCAACGCCGCACGCTCCTGCGAAGTCATACCTTTACCGAGACTTGCAAGGCCAGCGGGCGAGGGGGTCGGACCCGAATGCGGCGGTGTTTGATTGGACGAGACAGTCTGATTCGGCGTCATCAGCGACGGCACGAGAGGCGTGTTCGGTGTGGAAGTGGTAGACTGAGGTCCGTTCGTCGTTCCCGTCGTTGCGGCCACGCCGCCACCCGTTGGACTTGGTCCGCTGGACGCGGGCGGTGGTATCGTCTGCGGCGTTGAGGTAGAAATACCACTGTCACTAGGTGTGGAGGCTGACAATGGTCGAGCGGGGAACTGCTGATTCGCTTGCTGCTGCTGTTGTGCGCTCGATTGTTGCATACCGCTGAATGGCGAAGGCGTTTGTGGAATCGACGAAGCCGGTGTTCCGACCTGACTTTGCGTGCTCGTCGGTTGCGATTGCTGCTGACTTTGCTGTTGCTGTTGAGCAGCTTGAACCTGGGCCTGCAGTCTGACTTTCATGAGATCCGGAAATTGATGCTGACTTTGAATGGGTGAACTATTGGGTAAACCGGCAGCTGTGCTATTGGACGTTGGAAATTGACTAGTTGTCGCGTTGTTAGACGCGGTGGTGGTCGTAAGGTTAGCTTGAGACATCTGAGGTTGTCCGAAAGGATTGAGCCCGGGATTCGGCACCATATTGGCATTCGATGTGGATTGTCCGTTCGGACTAAGACCGGGAGGACCAACCAGAATTCCCTGTTGTTGCTGTTGTTGCTGCTGCTGTATTTGCTGCTGAGCTTGAATTTGTTGTTGCTGAGCTTGTTGTTGTTGAGGGAACTGCATTCTGTTATGTTGCTGTATGGCCATTGCAGGTATTGTTCCTAGTTGATTCATACTCGGTGAGTGACTTCGAAGAGTGGGCGGTACTGCTCCAACTGGTTTTGATGTTCCTGGAATAACGGCTCCGACATTAGGAGGTGCGCATGGCCTCAGTCCGGGACCGGATGCGCCAGGCGGCGGTTGCGGTTGTTGCTGCTGCTGTTGAGCTTGTAATTGCTGTTCTTTCCGTTTCTGACGTTTTTCGTCTAATTTAGTCAAATAAATTACTATAACAATATGGATCCAAAACGTATAGATTAAAGCATAAAACTAAAACTTAAAATAAAATAAAAAAAAACAATAATAATATACAATCAAAATAAATAAGTGATAATATAAGCAAAATAAAATAAAACGATATGTTATTTAAGAATGAATAAACTTTGACATGCGTATTCCACATTAGAAAACGACAAAAGAAAAGAAAGAGAATAAGAAATATAAATAGTAAGATCTTAACACAGTTACATATAAATAAAAAAAAATGTTTCTAAAGTTTACTTACCCAATTCCTTTTGTATTTTATAGATTTTTTCGGCCAAAAGATGATAGTATTCCGATCGCGAATTAGCCATTCCGTACATATCGCCCTCAACCTTTCTTGCGTACGCAACCAAGTTGCACATTCTTTTGTCGAGCATAGTTTGCGGATCCGGAGTGGGGAATATTGCTTGGACCCTGAGAAAAATAAAGACATTAATAACCGCGTTGTTACCAGAACAAAAATTTTTAATGTAACGTGTTATCATACGAAAAAAAACTCACAATTTATGAACTAGGTGATTCCTGAGATCTGGAGTGACGGACTGATGCCACTCCTTTGTTCCTTGCACGGGTGTCGCTGTGACTTGACTCGGTTGAAGACCACTTGGAAGCTGCAAATTTCCTAATCTATTCTCTCCGCCTATCACACTAGATTGTCCGGACTCATTCAATCCGAAAAATGTTTGCATATTAACGGATTGTTGTATATTGGCAGCGGCGGCTGCTGCAGCGGATGCAGGTCCTGTTGTCGGTGGGGTCTGATTGCCACCTATTCCGACCGTGCTAGGATCGGAATTTAGAGGAAGAGATACGTTTGGAGCGACCACTGTTTGTCCAGCACCAACTACAGATTGCCCTGGACCGGCTAAAACATTTTCGTAGATGCAAATAAATTTGTTTACTAAACATTTTATATGTAAAAAAAAAGAGAGTTAATAGATACGAAATAAATTCTCGTAACTTACTTTGTGTTTGAGGTTGCGCTAATCTAACATTGGCTAACTGTGTGCCAGGAGGACCTGTCGTGCCAGGCGCTGGCATTCTAACGCCTCTGCTAGCGCCTTGACTCGGCAGGAGTGTTGATGTTGTTGTTGGACACTGAATTCCTAGAGCATCGTAAGCTCTTCTCATTTCAAGTGGAGTTGGATTTGTTGTCTGGTTATTTGTTTGAGGAGCTAATAAAAAGAAACATAATAGATAAATAAATAAATAAATAAATAAATACATATTATATTTACATAAAAATATCTTCATATAAATTACCTTGCGTATTGGCTCTGTTTCTATTTGCTTGTCTTATTGGTTCACAAACCGGACAGTCATTTTTAGCACAGTGTCTCCAATGATTAATAATCTGTCTCGACATGCTACAATTAGACACTGTACAATTTTTGCCGACTTGACAAGTCATCATGTGAGACAAGACACCCTTCATCATTTTGCAATTTGGTAATTGACATTGTCTCTGTACTTGCTCGCCATTCATGCTTTCGCGCCGTTGGCATTTATGCGCGTGCAAAAGTAACACTAACTGCTGCTGAATGAGTCTACATTTTTCCGGATCAGGTGTTTTGGCTAAATATTAAAAACAAATTTTTTTTACGTTAGCCACATATAATTGTATCATACAACTTACCCCGTAGCAAATAAAAAAAAAAAAAAAAAAAAAAAAAATACTCGCCATTTACGCATCTTTTGTGTCCTACTTTAAGAACAACAAATAAAGCGAGAGCAAACGTTAAGGATTTAGTACTATCGTACTCACTTGACGGAGCACCAGCAGGGGCCATCTGGCCTTGAGATGGTTGTTGGGGAGCTTGTCCTCCACCAGCTGGTGCTCCCGTTTGAGGTTGTGCTGGACTCGGTGCCGGTATTTGAGTTTGTTGTGTTGCCGTTCCACCCTCTTGACTACTAACAACATTTGTAGTGCCAATCGGACCAGTGGTGGCGGTAAATCTGCTGGTAGCGGCTGCTGCCTGCATAGCAGTCATGTTTGTTCCCACCCCTTTCTGCTGTGGCTTGACGACACCTATAGGATTGTTGGCGCATACAGTTACTCCTGGTCCTGGTCCACCAGTACCACTTGGAGTACCTGTGATACAAAATTCTTCTTCACCATTCTTTCATTTGTCTATTTACATTCATTTCTTCATACAGCAACAATATATTATAAACATATATACGTATATACAAAATATATATATATATATATGTTTATGTTTATAATGTGTGTGTAATACATACCGTAGCCGTATGGATTTGATGCACCTATTTGTCCCATATTCGGCATGTTTGCCATAGGAGCCTGCATCCTTGGACCACCTTGACCAGGACCGACAATACCAACTTGATGTACCTGTTGGTGAGGACTTTGCCCTCTCGTTGGGCCGACCATATGCGCCTGTTGTTGTTGCTGCATTGTCACAGCTCTTGTGTTTATCATTCCAGGACCGTTTTGCATCTGCGTTACTCCGTGAGGTCCACTGGGATGATGTATCGCTTGAGTATTAGGACCCATCATAGTTACCTTCAAAATGTTGTTTCGATTAAATACTCGACCAATATTTTATTAGCAAAAATCGTTGTAACATTATATGAAATAATTAACATACGGTATTTAAAGGTTGTTTATTCAAACTGTTGGTTACTATCAAACTTCCTCCGGCCATGCCACCCATATTGTTTGCGCTAGCTGTACTAGTCATTACCAAGCCGGACGTTAAACCGCCTGGCATAGACATCGCGGGGTTACTTCCAGCCATGGATGATTGCAGACCACCCATCGAATTAGCGATGGACATTTGATTGTTCGCCAACGAACTAGCGATGCTGCTCGGTAAATTACCGAGACTCACAACCATTTGCGGATCGACTACTCCTTTGGAGACAGAAACGTTCGGTGGTGACTGCATATTCGGACTTTTACTGCCTAACGTTCCGGTAGCCATTACTAATGAGTTAGCCACCAAGTTCTTGTTGCCCTGTTCAACGATAGTTTGTCAAATATTATGTCATGCAATCGATCGTGGAAAACAAAAAATTAAAAAGTCTAATGTAATACCTGCTGTTGAATGAGATGATGAGAAAGTTGTTGTTGTTGCTGCTGCTGTTGTTGTTGTTGTTGCTGCTGCTGCTGCTGCTGTTGTTGTTGTTGCTGCTGCTGCTGCTGTTGTTGTTGCTGTAGTCTGAGTTCCGAATCGAGAGCACCATTTTGTTGTCCTGGTCCGGGACCAGTTGCCGGTGGCTTAGTACTCTCAGTCGCGGAACCCCAGGACCCAGACGACAGCAAGTCATCAGGTAGATCATTTTCAAGGTCAAACATTTCTGTATTTGTTATGTAATCTGAGAATAAACGAGAATACAATAATTATGTTTCCGTATAATTTTCATCACAATGACAGATATAATGGCTAGCAAAAAGATATGTCTTCGATCTGATATTTGCATGAATAAAACACAAGTTCGTTATTCCATAACTTCTATCTTTGACTCATCCTTGCGTGTTTTACGATGCAAGTTATCTGCTTATTATTATTATTGTTTTTTTTAAATACATTGTTTCAAATCTATCACGACTTATAAAGTTATAAAGTGCTTTCTAAGTTAAAAACAGTTCAAGGCTTGAATAAATGTAATATATTTAGAATAACGATATTATACAAGTGTATATACCAAGAAATCATTAGTTATTTTACAAAGGTAAGATTTCAGCACCGTCACCATAGCTTTTAGCAGAGTATAAGTATTTTCAATATAAAAAATTCATCTGTTTACGCTATCGTGTGTAACAAATGTATCGTATTTCTATATACATGTACAGATGCGTGTAAACATTACATATTTGTATATATGTAATACATACATGCATGTACACGAAACTACAGGCCAAAAAACAAACTTCAGTTTTGATCTGAACGAATAATATTAAATCTTCACATATATCTCACTCCTTTAAACAAGAATAATTGTTCTTGAAAAACTTACTTATCTATCCACGACTGACCATACATTGACGGAGAAAAAAAGGGTGTTATGTGTATGTATGTGTATGTGTGTGTAAGAAAATACAAATGCAAAATCTCTTTCTATACATATATATATAAATATAGTAAATATTAATTATATATTAAAAAGAAAACAAGTATGTATATATATATAGGAAAAACTGTATGTGATATAAACAAAAAAATAAGACATGAGACATACACTGCATGAGCATAACGTAAAAGAGCCTTACTCTACAGCAGATTGACAATTTCTTTGGCACAATAAAATTAGTGCTAAACTAAACAAGCAGTCGGCGAAGCTATCGACGGCAAACTTTTATAGAGGAGAGTCATGCGAAGAAATCAGTCACTCTAGAAAATATCTGTTCAAGCAAAACGATATTCTGGATGTTACGTTTCAGAACAGAGTGTCATTTCTCTTCACCCTAAGCTGGTCGGTGAAATAAAAAAAAAAAAAAAAAACTAAGACCTAGGCAAAAGATTTGTGCACGTAGTTTTTCATTCTATTTACATTGAGTTACGTATATATAAAAAGATAGAAAATTGATACAGACCTATGAACACCCGCCTGCTCAGCTAGCTATTTCCTGGACTGTATCATAAACTTACAATTCGTAGTATGTATGCCTTTTTTTTTCTTCTTTTTTTTTTTCTATTCTTTTTTAAGTTTTTCCTTTGCACTTCTGCCCGCAAGAGCTCTGCCTGTGTGTGTCGCATGTCTATTGTTTAATTCGTACATTGCAAATTGTCCCGCGATATTTATTAGAGAAAAACAGAGAGTGGGAACTGGCTACTATTTGAATCTGATTATGTACCTTTAGCAACACCGATCCAATTTTTCTCCATTGCTATGTAAAGTGAATCAGTCAGCGCTCAAAGTAAGATAATATTTTATATATCCATATTTTGTCGCTCTTTTTTATGCTCTGCCATATTTTCAAAGATAAATTATTGTGACATCCGATTTTCTTTTTTTGTTTTCTTTCCTAAATGTGTAAAGAATAGACTATATATAATTTTGTTTTGGTTTCTTTTTTTCTTTTTTTTTACTGAGAACCACAGTGACAATATGCCAAAACTACCACGCATTTTTCTTTCAGCAAGTTTGCGACTGCATCGATCTCACTGAAAACCAGAGACTGAGGCAAGTAACTTGACAAGAAAAACATTTATACTGAGACAATTATCAAAGATATCAAAACGAACAAACGAAGACTTTGCTTCCTGTGCTGATCTTAAATGTGTTTTATTTGTTTACTTTTGTTTTTTGAAAATTTATTCCCATTCTAATTTGATAATAAGATAATTACTTCGCTTTAGGTGGTTCCAATGTTGTTGAGGCAACTGATGTTGAGGCACATGTAGCGGTTGAGGTTGACCCTGAATGTTACCATTGCCACCTCCCGGGAAGTTTGGAAAAGCATGGTGCATCATTAAAGGCGCCATACCCACTACATATATATATCAATAGTTTTTGGTTTAATTTAGAAATGAAAGAGAAAACTAATTAGGCTTTTCTTCTGAATAATGTGGTATCTAAGTGGTAGAAACAATTATAGAGAAGCAGTTTTTTTTTTGTTTTTGTTTTTTAATCAACCACTACTGAGTTTGCTCTTCTGATCATCACTCTGGTTCGCTCAACTGACCTGGACAAACACGGAAATCAAACTGTTTCTGCGATCTTGTTTCTGCGACTTTGGTACCGTCATTATAAAAGCAATTTTGAAGGTTTTATATCTAAGTAAAATGTAAACTATATCATTATGTATATATATATATATATATATAACACAGCGTTATGTGCATATTATATAAATTCTGTTTTTTTTATTTTTTATTTTTTTAAAACTTTGTTAAGAGATGAGATTGAGGTGTGTGTTTCAAAGAAAAAAAAAAGGAGGTTTATTAGCGCATTGGTTCACATGCCAGCAAAACTGTAATCTTTAACATTAAAAAGTGTCATGCAAATCTCGTCATGCACTACTAGGATCACAACTATTGTATATCTAAATGTAAGTATATATATATATATCTAGAGAAACATATGGGAAAAACTCCACATATGTATATGTATATATTTTCACACGCCGTTCAACAACGAGAAATGGCAGAGATGCAATAAGACAATAAATAAATAAATAAATAAAATATCACGTGTACTTGGCTTTACAATAAAACTTGATTTTCGTACGATCTGAGCAAAATGTGAAAAATTAAAGAATTAAAGTCTAAATTAACTTGTCAAGTGTGTCTTCGCGAACCATCCTACTTTTCTCACGTTGAAAATTTATTCTCGCCTAGTCGGGGAGAGAATTAATACATTGTACGGAATTTTTTATACAAAATTGTAACGAGACATGTGTAACAAATGTACGAGAGAGTCACAATTGAGATTCGAACTGTTCGATTTGTCACTTTTACGGGAAGAAGAGTAAGTTTCGTTATTTGCGAATTTTGCTCAGAAATTCGCGAATACTTCCGCGAAGATCCCCAAATCAAAAATCATCGCGGGCGGTAAACCGCGATGCAAAAAAAAAAAAAAAAAAAAAAAAAAAAAAAAAAAAAAAAAAAATTGTGCCATTGGCGCCACGAATTCGGCGAATCGCGCCAATCGGCGAAATTCTTTTTTTCTCCGCCGTGTGCACGCGAGATGCGTGTACGCGCTCGGTTCTCGGCGCGTGTCTCTCGTCGCGCGCGCGGCGGCGACGCATCTTCTCTTGTAAGGTTAGTCGCGGGATAAATTTTTCCAGAGAGGAGGAAACTGTGGAGAGACTAGGAGAAGATGAGAAAAACCTAGGTAGGTAGGTAGAGATTGACAGAAAAATACAAAAGGTACGAAATTTGTACGGGGGGGGAAGAGGGGGAGAGGGGGCAAGCTTGAACTAACCTGTCGAGTCCGACGGGCCCGGAAAGGGATCCAGCTTCTGCCGCTTCTGCGGAGGACCGTCCACCATGTGATCGGCCATGGTTCCTTCCTCGCGGGGCTGTTATCTTTTCTCGCGTTAGAGCGCGACTCTAACCTCGCTTTCTCGTAGCTCGAAATCACCTTCCACGATCACCTGCGCGTCACACGTCGTACAAACGAACTCCGTATGACCGCGCACGCACGCACGCACGCACGTCAGAGATAGCAACGGCAATAGCGTAGCAGGGAAAAAATCGTCGTTATCACTACAAGACCACCGCCGTCGTCGTCGTCGTTGTCCAGGTCGTCATAAGCCCTGCCACTGTTGCCGTCGCCGATTCCGTGAAAATCGCGGGTGAAAACGCAGCCGTTTGTTCTCTACTGTCGGTGAAGCCGCGTAACAAGTTCACCGAACCGCAGTCATACTCGCGAACATAACAATAACAATGAGAACCGCGGCGCGTGAAGCGTCCTCGTGTAGCATACTCGGGTGCACGGTCAACCATTGGGCATCGTAGCGTTCGGGGTACGTCAAACCCCGGTGTCAAGGTCCGCACGCACGCACGCACACGCCGACAGCGTCGAGGAATGTCCGTTCTCTTTCCGGCGACCGACGACGGGACGGCTACCGCGCCGCGTCGCCGCCGGGACGGGACAGTAGATCACCGCGTTTCACAAACGAGAATAAACCGATCACAACGACGATGGATCGCGCGATGCGAATGATAATATAAATACGTTTAACGGGCGACCGCGACACGGCGAGGACGTCGCCGTTTTTCCCCCCCAGGAGTTCCCGTTACCAGAGCGATAAAATAAAGTGGGCAACTCGCGCGGCGGGCAACTCGCGACTATCGCCTCCAAGAGGACCTAAACCCTGTCCTCTCCGCCGCGATTATACGCGTCGATTTTGCCCGCGGTCCCCCCCGAGGATCCGACTCGTTATTTGCGTATACGATCGCTCGAATAATCGGCGCTGCTCACCCCCTTCGCCGTACTACAGTCCGTCCAAAACACAAATCGTTTGTGTGCTCACAGAGGTATACATGCACCCGCACGACACTCGTCAAACTACTGACTGCGTGCACGGCGCTAGCCGACACGATCGCTCTCCGAGGCCCTCTGGCACCATCTTCTCTTCTCTTCTCTCTCGTCTCACTGCGACACAGCGCGCGAACCATTAGCGGGAATCGACGCTAATATTCATGCATCCGCACGCAATTCAAGGACACGAGCAAGCAAACACGATCGCGCGTGTCGGCACAGAGGCGGCCACCGCGTTCGCCACAGAAATTCGCTCGGGAATTGTGATTGCGAGATCCTCCGCACCGCACAACTATCACCAATCGTTCGCCAACATAAAATGGCGGTCGCTGTTGACGAGTTTTTCTACGCTTGTCAGGACTCGGCGACAATGGCCGTTGCCGCAGACCGCCGCGCCGATTGGCCGAGCGGGTCATGTGATTTGCGAGGCCTGCGCGCCTCCGCCAAGCGACCGGGACGCGTAGACACGCCGGCTATTCTCACGGCGACTCGGATATTATATTGCGCTCCTCGGATCGCTGCCGCGAGCGCCGTCCGCCGTAATCTCTGGCGTTCTCCACCAATCCACCTTTCTTACCGATTCACTGAGAGTTCGCGCGACTCGAGCATTCAACCAGATTTTCATTCAAATCACTGTTTCCTCTTCAAAATGCGGCGCAATTGCGAGTGTCCGCGACCGTCTCGCACGTTTTCTAACATTTTTCCCAGCTCGTTCACTATGTTTTTTTGTCCAACAAGGCGGAAGCACGTGCTGCTCCGAATCGAAAAACGAATCTGCCGAAAAATATACAAGATATCTATCTTCTCGTTTCTGTTTCCGACTTTTCACACATCGGACAATCGAACATCTTCTAATTTGTTGCATATTTGCACAAAAATTTATACGTTCGTTTTATGCGCCGCACGATTATGCAAATAGACGAATGTCCAAAATTACAAAATTGAAAAAGATCCCGTCTTCGGACGCGCGAAACAAGCATTGCACGTGCGATGCGACAAATGTCTACGCATGTTGCAAACAATTTCTTTACTTTTTTGTAAAATTACGGCATGGTTTTTGTTGACAATTTACTGCGATTGTAAAATGTAAGTTCGCGCGCGAAGAGAAAAAAAAACCATTTGATGCAAATCGTATATATACGCGCGTCGAATGAGATAAGATTGTTAATTCGCACGTTTCTTTCGTTATGTCACAATTTTCTCGCGTCGCACGCGGTTTCCCGCGGCAAGTGTATCGACGCGAAAGTAAACGCGAACAGATTGCGCGGCGGCGGCGGCGGCGGCACGCGCCATGTCGGTTTTTATCTCGAATCACTTTCGCTTGCAATACATCGCATCTTCTCTCTATGTGCGAACGACTACTGTTTTCCGTGAGCGTTTTTTCTCTCCCCTTCTTATATCTCTCTCTTTCTTCCTTTAAATAAAAATCGACGCGAGACAGAGAGAAACGTGATAGTCAAACAACAACGGCGAGACGGGAGCATTCTTCTATCTTTCCAAGTTCTTGTCGACTACGAAAGAAAACAATGAAGATGTCGCAAGATGGCCAAGGTGATCTCTCGATCGACGAATCGAGAAGAACCGAGCGCGCGCGCACAGAGAAGGGGAAGAGACGGAAACGAAGGGTAGGGGAAGAGAGGGAAACGTTAGGACGGACGGGAACGTTCGCCTCTGTTCGTGAAGTCGTCCAGCGCCTCGACGGGATCGCCGAGGTGCGAACGGCACGCGACGCACAACGCGTCACGCGTGAACTTGTTCGCCGCGGCGTCTCCCTCTGCGCAACATCGTCGTCGGTCGTGTCCGCTGGCGGCGGGTCCGTCTGCCCCGCGAGAGAGGAGAGAAGAGAGAACGGAAAAGAAACGGGTGAACGCTCTACCATTGGCGCGGAGGGTGGAGGGGTCTCCTCCTCTTTGGAAATGGGACGGGAATCGGATGACGGCGTGGCAGCAGACGCCTGGCCGCCCGTCTCCGAGACTCTCGTGTCAGTATGACAGCGGCTCCTTTGTATACCAATATACTTTGCAGAGAAAGCCACGTACTCTGGACTACACATTGCGCGTTGCCCGCCCTTTCTCTCTCCGTCTCTCTCTCTCTCACACCCGCTCTTTCGCAAAGCGGAAAAAAATTTCTAGCGGAGACGCGATATGATGATCCCGTTTTTTTCCCGTGCCGTTTTCCCTTGCCGACCGCGACGTTTCGTGTCCCGCCGCGAGAAGACGTGAGTTTGTCCTCGCGACGCGACGTTTCCTCGTTACGACGATCGAGATCGAACTCTCACGATCGGGAAAGCACAGAGATCGATGCTCGAACAACTATGCTCGGGGATTTGACACACTGCCGAGAATTGAATAATTCTCGCGTGTGTCGACATAAACGGAGGAGAGGATGATGTCGCGCGTGTTCGTTCGGCAGCGCGCGGGATTACGTAATTCTCTCGGCTGATGAAAAACTCGAAGTATTTTCGGGCGGAAGATGCGACGCGGCCGAAGCGGCGCGGTGTTTGTGTGTTAACATTCAACGCACCCGCTTGCCTCTTCGTGCACCGCGCGCGCGAATTCAGGAAAAGTGTAATCGATCGTTACCTCCGCGCTCTGCTCGGTCGCTTCGCCGCGGCCTACGATTTATGTCTAGTCTCGCGTGCACGACCGCGCGCGAGGTGCATCGACCCATCTTTCTTTCGGTTCGCCGCGATATTACATACTCGCGTGCGTAGGTATACGTACGCAAGTGAAGGACGTTTGCGCGTAACTATGTAGCAGATAGAGTACATATATATATATATATACATATATAAAATACGTTCGTCCTCTTCCTGCAGTCTTGCCTCGCGAGAACGTAATGATCTTTTTTATCGAAAAGATTATATAAAGGAAATCAGATGGGAGCTTTTCTCTCACCGCGAAGTAAATGCATGTATCGATACACCGCGCAGTTCCTCTCCTCCTCGTCGAGTTTTTCCAGGGAAAAAGAGATGAAAATCTCGGGGAGAAAAGTCCTTCGTATGCGTACAAGCATTTTAATATGTATCTGTGATCGATTGTACGTGTGATGGATCTCGCGATAAATAAATTTGACACGTCTATGGTTAACATAAAATTCGTTTTACATACGAAGGACATGTTTCTCGCGATCTCTGTCTTATCTCTTTTAGACATTGGGTCATTAAGTGTGAAACTTGACAAATATTTGTATAAAAAATATATGTATATATATATATATATGTATATTTGTCAAATTTCATACTTCATCACCCAATATAAATTTTACACACACACACGACACACTTATCGAATGGTGAGACGTTTCACCGATCGCACGAGAGATAATATAAGTTTTAAATGATACAATTTATGTCATTAAAAATCGAACGCGATGGATCCGAAAAGAATCTTTCCTTAATCTTTATAATATTTCACTTCCGTTCTGTTATTAAAGATAGGCGGCTGTGTCCGAGACAAAGCTGCAGATTGAAGCGTGAAATTGTTGATCCGTCTGATCGCGAGGAGACGAAAAAATTTTATAATCGCTTCAGATTTTTGAGCCGGGTGGTCGCACAAATCGAACGAAGTAAATCAGAAACGTTTATCTTCAAGTCGAAATTGCTTGCTGTCTCGGATCAATTCGTTGCGATGTGATTTACAGTCGGAATTTTGTTTCTTTGTAAAATAAAATTGACAACAGTATAGCTCGTGTCGCAAAACACGCATAGAAACAAATCGCATTCTCTCTTTTACACACACACACACACACACACGTTTCTTCAACCTTCAAAGAGAAGGATCGATTGCTCATTTTACGTATTCCACTTCGTGTATATTTCATTTTGTCATTAGCGAAAAGACCGCTTGTGAAAAATTTTTCGTAATCTCGCGATGTTCCTTCTTGATTTTTCATTTGAATAGACAGACACACTAAATTAAACAGCGAAAGAAAGAAATCGATTTTTTCCAAACGAAGTCGCTCTATTTTTATTCGATTAACGCTGCGGTCGCGGACATTTTAGCGCTTTAATTAATCAAATTGTAAACACAATTGTTATAATGGCCCGAGCAAACAAAATTGTCTCGACTGCGCGATCGCACTCGTTGGTTTGAAACAAATCTCGAAATAACACAATTTTCAATAAAATAAGAAAAACTTAAGCATCTCATTGAGTTGCGATAGATTGCAGTAAAAAAATACTGCAAAGTTTTAATGAGATCGCGGTCGTGGTTGAACGTAAACGTATCTCTCTCGAGAATCAACACACATCGTTCTCGCATTATGTCTTTTTCTACGTAAAATAAAATGCGTAAAAACTGTAAAAAAAAAAAAAAAAATGTATAGAATACCGATCTTGCTTCTTTATTTTCTATAGCCGTCGCTTTAATTAGAACGCCTCGCCTTGATCTGTCGGCTAAGAATCGATCATTCGCGATACGCACAATCATAACGCGTCGTCGTTTTCCCACACACACTCACAATGCGGGTTAGAGAAGCAAGGTCGATGAGGAAGCCTAGTGTTCGAATCTGTGTGCGATCCGAGTTGGTGTCGCGCGGAGACACAAGAGGACTGTGTGTATTCATTGTGTGAGAAAGAGAGATAAAATGGAGAACACAATTTACAATATGGAGAAACAAAACGTCACGCAATATTCTATTCGTGTTACGCGCATTACAATGGAATGTTGTTGCTTTTTTTTTCCTTCTCAACTGATATAAACAATAATAAATTTCTTTTATTTGCCACAATCAATGTTTCGTTAATCACGAGAAAAGTTATATATACACCATGCAACTAACAGATGCGACGTTTCATGTATAATAAATATATTATTTTGTTTTTCTTGCCTCACGCGCATTGTATACACGCACTAACAAGATGATAAAACACGCACTTCACTTTTGGTTACATACATTAACGGAGGAAGTGATTGAAATTATGCGGGGAAAAAAATGCATGCGAACTCTCTCGATTTGGAGATAATTTCATAAGAGAGATATATAACGTACAATTGATTTCATCTTTATTCGCATAAACTTACTTTCAATAATTTCGTAACTTACCAAAAATATAATCGAGACCAAAACCGCGTCTGTGTTTATCTTATTAGTGAGACTAAAGCCGTTACAATATATAATTACTTTTTAATCAATAAATTGTTTTGCAGTGTCAAGAAGCAACACCGCATGGAAGTACACAAATACATATACCTGCGGACTTTACACCCAACCGTTTTTTTTTTTTTTTTTTTTTTTTTTTTTTTTTTTTTTTTTTTTTTTTTTTAATATAGTTAAAATAACAAAAAAAAAGTTCCTCTCACTATGGCTAAACTCTATACAACAACAAAGGATTTATAAATTTATCATACTAATATGTAAAACAAATTATCGGAGACACACGAATGTCCCCGATATTTCTGTGGAATTGCAAATAAATCTTTCAAGTTTAATGCACAATTTGTGTTTCGTCTCAATGAGCGAACGAGAGAAAGTTCTTTTTGTGTTACAATATAATCGTCATTTCGCACTTTCTTTCGTAATTATTACATATGTTTCTCTCTTTTTCTCGAGGCAAACCTATTCTGTAACTTCTAACGCACGCGTTGCGAATTTTTGCACGTGGACAAAATGCGTCGTGAGATAATACGCGCGCAATACACGGTGACAATTAACACAAAACTGAAAGTTCGTTAAAAGAACCAACGTCGTTATACAAGTGACAGAATAAGGATGCGGGCATGATGATGTGTTAAAGATATAACACAACATACATGCGAGTCCATCAGCATATAACCGTCCAATTAACCAAGTGCTAATTGGATTACTCACAACTGTTCGTCTTTAAAATATTGCATATGTTTTGCGTAATAATAATCCCGTCCTTCCCGTTGATTCGACATTTTTTTTTTTTTTTTTTTACCTTAATCACGAAATTACGAACTTGTAAAATGCGATAAAAGCTTCATAGACTTAAAAACTAAACTCCAAATGCAATGTCAGAAACATTATTGTTTATGTCTTCAATTTACTCATCATTTAGGCACATACAAATGTGTGTACCATTACCTCACGCAGCGGGATAGAATCATTAATTCAACGAGAAACATCTACTATATATGGAATATGCTGCATTGCTGCTTGCCACTCTGATTGAACAGCTTAGCAAGTTTTCTGTAGAAAACTTTTGTACATATGTAAAAACGTTTAAAAGAGATATGCGAGCGTTATTTTCAAATACAGAGAGAATCGGAAGTTAAACGCTCAAAATCAAGTCTGACCGCCGAAGAGTGTTTTTATATAATTTTTGTATGTACTTTCAACTCGCGATTTTAAAAGACAGCATTTTGTTCCTCTTTCCAATTAGTGTTGTAAAGTGATAAAATATTCCGAACGTTCAGAAATATAGTACATTCATGAGCGACAATTGTAAAGATTTTGGTAACAACAGTGTGTGCGCATAAAGTGCTTCCAAAACGGTTCCGCCCTCAATTTACGGCCACGTGGTCAATCGCTCTTGGATCTCTCGGCAGTCTCACTATGATCCGTTTTTGCCTCGGTTTCCTGTTGGCTACCCTCATCTTCTTCATCTGAGTAATTTGTAGGTGCTTCACCAGGTTTCAGTAATTTACCAACGTAGTCGTACCTCTCTGTAAAACAAAACAAAGTACATGTACACATACACACATATATCAAGATATAAACATATAATATCCAACAAAACAAAAACTGAGAAGTTTGTCAACACATCACACTACATGTGTCCATACTCCAAAGATATTTGTTGGCCACATATATACACACAAACAACTCTGATTAGCTTGTGTGTAAATTTTTATTTTTTATGTGAATTCACGAGAGTGAGAAGAGAATATACATTTAAAACACACTGGATGTAAACTCACCGTTGAATTGTTCTTCCCACTCCTTGATGGAACTCATTTCTGTGGTATTCAAATCGCTCAAATCATCGTACTTGTCGGTCGCCGCGTCAACCGCAAATGTTGCGAGCGCCCTGCTAGCATCCTTACCGGCAAATGCCTCATATGGTCCACCTGTTGGAAAAAAGTTTGTGACTTTTGTTATTTTTACTTACCACAGAAATGATATCATCGGCTCTTTTAGATCGCCCGCTAAACAAACGTGTTCCGACAGAGAGAGAAAAAAAAAAGAGAGAATTTTATAATGTATTCCGTGCGTGTATTTCAAGTTTGTAAGTTTCTGTTTTTACCTCAGGCATAAGATAAGATATTGAACGCAGATAACGAGCGTGGCAATTAGATCGCGCTCAATTAGAAACGCATGATATATAAATTGTATTCAAACGTGTCAGAACGTTTTCTCAAAACGGAAGAAAAAACCAAAAGGAATCGACTTGCGTGTGGTTATGCCGATGTTCGATTTCTCTTTCGCTTAACTCACCTGGGCCGTAGAATTTGGCACCTCTGGTGACGTCGTACACGCTACCGTTAACGGCAACCAATATCCGTCCGTCCGGACCTTTGCCGTCGTACTTGGTCAGTTCTTCGATCTTGAAGTCGCGTCGCAATTTAGGCAACTTCTTCACTTCCACCACGGGTTCCGGGGTCCTTGCGCGGCTCTTCACGATCTTGTATACTAGGATGGCGATCACGCCCACCAGCGCGAGATTCAGCGGACTTCTGACGATCTCGGCGATGAAACTCGAGAGAAACTGCTGCGATTGTTGCTGTTCCTGAACGGTGACCGGCGTTCCGGTCTTCTCGGCCATCTTGGCGACCTCAGCGGACGATAAACCGCCGAGGAAGATGAAAGAGAGATTTTACACACGAGCGATCCGCGTTAAAGCGTGCCGCGTCGATCGAAACGGATACGTGTGGTCGGAGTAGTTTACAAAGTGTCGCTTTGCCGCCGCTCTTCCGTCTTCTCTATCCTCTGTCCTCTTTTTCCACGCGTCGACACGCGAACAAGTGCAAATAATAACGTAACGAATTTTTGGAACGGGCTGACACCTCAACGAGATTTATATCATCAGACGTCGACAACGTAATATCGGTGTGACGATGCGTCGCTCGCCGTCGTTCTTGACTGCAAAAATCACGCAGTCACGCCGCGTTCAATGGTGAGGGAACCCCACTAACGACAGACTCGGCGCCATCGCTGCTCCTCCATAACGTGCGCATCCGCGCACATATATTTCCAGTACCGTACATATATATACATATAATTCGTCAGCGTATGTGTGATAAAAATTTTGCATGCAGAGACGCGTGCGTATATATATATACGTACAAAAAAAAGTTGTGATAACAAATTTTCTCGACGGAAGTCACGTCCTTCGTTAATAATTGTTTAAAATTTATTCTCACAGGAGTTGTGCGCGTGTCCGTGTTGAATTTTTTTATTTAAAAAAATTGAACTGTATGAATTAACTGGTGTAATAAAAGTTACAATGTCAAAATTTAAAAAAAAAAAAAAAGAAAAACCAGCGAAAAAAGTTTTTTGCTGAAAGCAATACACACGGTATATTATATACATATATATATAGAACTCGGTGATCGTAGTTTGTTACTAAAAGTTGTTCAGACGATGTCATGGGATTTTGTTTAAATTAGATGAACTCTGACACGAGATAATCTCATTGTGCCATTCACGGGGGAAAAAAAATACTTTTGTTGGACCGAGCGAGATTATCATACGGACAAAACAAGAACAATTTCTAAGTCTAATTTTTGTTCTTACCAACACGTTTTGCTCCTGTGTAATAAAGTTTTTTTTTTTTTTTCGCGCGATTTTGTGATTATCTCACAAGTAGATCTCGTATATAGATATTATAGATATTGTGTGTTTATTGATAACAGCTGATAACGAGGAGTCTCATATTACATAAGTGAAAGGTGAAATATTTGGAGAATACTGTGTACTTGGACACACGCGGAATCGATCGTATATATGCAAAAACATTTTTTGCATACATGCAAAAGATTAAAGAAATAATATTAGTATGTAAAAGTATGTACGTGTATAGCGTCCGACGATTGTATTGTTCGATATTTTTATTCGAGTTCGAAAAAAAAAAACGGTATTTATAGTCGATGACTTAACGCGCACGCAAAGCCGCATTTTGTTTCTCTGTAAAGCGAGAAACAGTTATTTTGCAATAGAAAAAAGTAACAGCGCGCAACAGATTTACAGTTTGCTCGAGAATCATTATCTCTTCTCTGCGAAAGACAAGAATAGATTTTTGCGCGTAAAATTCGAAAGACAACGGGAAACATTGTGCAAACGTTGCGATAAACTTGTAAGAGAGTCTACACATCGCGGAATGCCGACTTAAACTTTATGAGAAAAAACAGCAGCATGACGTTACATCGCGCATCGATTCCTCAAAGTCATGCTGCGCAGTCACGTGTTCTATTCTATAATATACATACGTATCTAACAATAAGTTATGTATCATGTCGCGTCTACAAGTGTAAAAATTGTTGTACGAATGTTGTATGAGGTTGGGTTAGATCGGCCGTTTTATTGCACGTCGCGAGATCCGTGGTCTCGTGACTTCTGGGGCAAAGGCTGCGAACCTCGAAGATCTCGAGTTCGAATCCGTCTTTAGAAAATTGTTTTCCGGGTCTCAATCCCTTTCAGCCAATTACAATAACTGCGAATATGCCTTTCGATTTCACTCCACGTTCTATTTGCTGCAAAATAAAGCTCGGAACGTCTTTCTTCGTTAATTATTTAATTCAATTAAAAGTGTGAATCACGTAGATTCACATTGTAATTAATTAACTCAGTTTCGTGATGTTTTATTTTGTGATATATATTATATCTGCTCACAATTATATATTCAATATATACTAAATAATAAAAGTGTATAAAGTTTAATATTCTGTGTTTAATCTCTTCTCTTGATTAAAAAAAAGTAATTCTTATTATATATAATGAGAATATAAGAAGCAAACTGCTTGCGTAACGCAAACCTACGTGTTTATAAAACTGTTTTTGTTTTCAAGTGAGTAATAATCTAATCGCACTTAAATAACTTGTACTCATATGGACGGCACACTATATCGACACAATACTGTTTTTTGTTGTCAATTCATATTCTACTAACTGTTGTTTGCAAACAACATTATTTCGAGAGAGTAAACTCTCTCTCTACTTGCTTAAGGATAACACAAGCGAGGAAACATACGTCTGAAAGTCGTCCAACACTTGTTTTATTTTAACATAAAGTGGACGAATTTCGGATGTATGTTTCTCTCGCTTCTTGATGTCACATTCAAGAATTCCACAGCGACTAATTAGAAGCCATAAGGCACAACAATAACAAGGCACCTTTTCACTTATGCAGCACAAAAGTGCAAACGTCTATAGCTATTTGTATTCTTTGTGTGTGTGTGTGTGTTTGTATAAATTCTAATTACAATATTTTTCTTACCTCATTTGTCTATATATCACTAAGTGCACTTTTCTTACAAAAATCAACATTATGCCTTTATAATGTTGGTGTTTTCTTCCTGAAAATTGAGATACGGACGGATGTCAATGGTGGACGATACAGCTTCAGGAACAACTCGTTCCGAACACATTGGACAAGTCTCTTCAGATTCGGCGATTCTATCATATGACAATTTATATTTGTTTGATTTATATGTGTAATTTTTCAAAGAGATACGCTATTTATTGTATTTTTACCTTAAAAATTCACTTCTAATGGCGGGAAAATCGCATTGAGGACATACTGTAAAATCATCCTCAACAATGTGTCGTCCCTGTTGAATCAAACATACACATACAGAATGATATCAATAATGTTTTTGCGGATAGTTTTTACAGTTTTGGACTTGGTATTTACCGTTGCGATGCAGAATGGTATAGTATTTTTGCACTTATCACAGGTTACTTCAGTCTCGGGAAGTCTGCTCTTGCAATACGGACACGGTGTCAGAGGCTCGTCCTCGTTCTCGATGTCCTTTGCTTTCGGTGGTTTTCTCACGATCGCTTCGATCTTTTTGCTGTACTTCGCGTCTACTTGTCCGCGATACTCGGGACGCATCAGCATCGCGGCGAAATTGAAAGCCGCGTTTTTCAAGCCCGCTCTGTGGCATTCTATTACGGTCGACGTTAATATCGGTACAATATCTGAAATGCAAAATATCACGTTTCTTTTTTTGTATCACGTCAAGAAAATTACACAAATTTATTCTTGCGTCACTAAGAGAGATTGTTTACGATATACTAACGAGATGGAAATTTCGATATGTTGTTGGCCACTCTTATCAGCATTCGGGCGCCTCGTAGATGATCACTTCTCTTCACGTGTAATCTTACCAGAATGTAGGAATGCAAAAGTCTCAAATTGGTTTGCATCTCCAAAGGTATGGTGATCTTGTTTCTCTTCAATTCTTGATACATTCCAAACAAGACGTCGTGAGCATTTCTGTAATTTCCTGAGAAAATAAAACAAATTGCATTTTAGATGTTTTTGCTGTATTAAAAAAAAAAAAAAAAAAAAATACGTACCGTTAATTTGTTCCTCGTTCGCAATTATGATCGCCGTCTTAGCCGCTTCTTTATACTGCTTTCGAGCCATGTACAATCGAAACAGATACTTCGGATCCTGTGTACAAATAGAACAGATTAGAAACTTTTTGCATAAATTCTGTGAATCGCGAGTGTTTTTTTATGTACGAATATCTAACCTTTGGTAATCCATCGCTTCCTAATAAGAAATCAATTAATTGATTGGCCAATTTATCATCTTTAGAAGACGCGATGGTGTCTATGGCGTAAGAGATCGCTCGATCGTCGTCCGGCACCAGTTGCGCAGCTTTTAACAAATGTCGCAGAGCCTTAAAAAAAAAAAAAGCTCGGTAAGTTAACACCACACGACGGGAACGAAAAAGTTTAAATATGCGCAAACTAACTTTCTGATACTCTTTGGCGTGGAAGTAATACTTCCCTGCCAAGAGATTGTTTTTCTGAGACTCAAAATGCATCGCGAGGCTTCTGAAATCTTCTCTCCGCACGTTGGTGTCGTCGATCGTGTTCACCAAAATTTCTCCGTACAGTTCCATTTTGCCGTGTTGATTGGCCAGTTGAAAAGCTTCGTCGTGACAATTCGACAGAATCAGAAATTTGATAGCCGCGTTGTAATCGTTCATCTTTTGGAAATATTTAGCAACCATCTTCGCACCTTCTATGCTTTTGGTTTGTTGCACAACCTCAACACTACGAGCTGTGGAGAAATTAGCATTTTAAATATATATATTTCGTCAAAGTCTTGTATGTTTACTAAACTTACCGGGATTGTTTAAATATTCCAGATTAATTCTAATTATGTTGTCGTAGTCCTTGGCGGTTTCGTACGCTTTTGCAGCCTCCTCGTATTTACCCTCGGACTCTTTGGCTTTGGCGTATTGTATGTTAATTTTCGCCGACGATATCTGAGGCAACAGTTGGCCCACCTTGTGCCAATTCTTTAACTTTATATACGCTGAAGCAGCCTTGTCAAAATATTCCGCTTTTTCGTATAACTGCGCGGCTTCGCTAAATTGCTAAAACGCATAAGTGCGTTTAGATTGTGTGCAAACAAGATATAAATATTTTTGAGCCGAAAGATGAACATATGTACCTTCATCGATTCCAAGATCTCGGCACATTCCTTTCGTAACAATCTCGAACTCTCGTTGTCCATGGCTATTCCGACGCCTCTTCTGCTGTCCCCACATCTTATAGACATTCTCGCTATTCCCGCTAAACACTGACTGCGATGGTGAGGATTTTGCGCGGCCAAAGTCAACGAAGCGTCGACATCAACCAGACCGCGTTCGTAATTCGTTAAAGCTTTCGGGTAATTTCCGCTGCATATATAGTTTTAAAATAACATTGTCTTATTTGGTGTTTTTAAGTTTGCGCGATAAACAGCGAAACAATTTAATCTTACGTAAATTCCAACTGTTGAGCATATTCTCGGGCGATGAAGGGAATTTCGTCGGGTTTTAATTTCTGCGCCAAACTCAACGCTTGTTCCCACTGCATCAGGTCCCTTCTTAAATACAGGGCCTGCACCGGCTCGGATGATTGTAGAAAATATTTTTCCGCCTCGTTATAATTTCCCAGTAATATGCAAGCATGGCCGCATAACAACGCCAACTCGTCAATATTCTCCATGCTTTGTAACGTCCACACCATCGAAGCGTCTTCTATTTGTCGATACACGCGGACGGCTGCGCGCACGATACGCATATATAGATATATATTTTATAAATAATTAAATACCACTTTTTTATGATATTTGTTATTATACTTTGCGTTAAATAACTTTTGCGTTAATAATTTTTTTATATTTACCGTATTCGATATTTAAGTTCGCGATAGCACTTTGTCCTAGCTTCACCCACGCGTCTCTCTCGTTTAATTTCTCACAACTGTTCCACGCCTGATGAAATCTAAATCGCACAATCTCGTTTGTTTAAAACGCATCGTACAATTAATTTCCATCTAATTGTTTGCGAGTGAAATAAAATGCTCACCGTCTGCACAATATTTGATTGTCTAAAATCTCATTGACCTTCTTCGATTCCACAATGTTGCCCACGTCTTCGTGAGAGGCTAATGTTATTTGTATCAGTTTGCCACCCGTTGTGCTCAACGTTACCTCGCCGGAATACATCAGTAAAGGTATCGAGTCCAATGGCAATTTGGTTGTATTTACTTTTATCACTTTGGTACCTGTTTTTTTTTTTTTTTTTTATCGCACGATCGAATATGTAAGATTTTTTTTTTTCACGTGACCAAGCAACAATCACAGATCAGATATATACTTGCCTTCGATAAAATATTTTACAAGAATGTATGTTACAATCACGCTCTTGTTGTACACCACAAATATAGCGCGTTCGTATATGTTCTGATCCCAGAGAATACCGTCAATGTTATCAGGACAATCAGGCACCGCGATGGCTGTTTCGTTTATCGGATCGAACACGAACGCGTCCGATTTGTCGTCGATAAAACACAACTGCGTCCCGTTCGCGTCCAAGTACAACTGTTTTATCCCGTTGTTATGCGCGAATTCCGTACTTTCGTTAAAGGTTTCCAGATAAAAATAGACAATGTGACCCATCTAAACAATCAAGTTGGTTTGCAATGTTGTTTGCGTGTGTTCTATTCTTTTAACACGTACTTGTAATATTGACTTACGTCGTCACCGTAAACCAAGAAATCCGAGCACAGAGCGTGACATGTTATTCTACTCTGAGAAGAAGTCGTGTCTGGAAACATTTTTGTATCCTTCTCGTTGTTGCTTAATGTCTGATCAAATTTAATCTGTAAAGAATAGAATATTATCAAGCTCGAGAATCTCTCTCTCGGCGTTATTCTCTTATATTATTTGCAATTCATTAATTTACACAAACTTACCGAATGCAATTGTAGTTTTCCGTCAAACAGCGCCGACACGTACGTCTCGTTTAGACGCATGCTATCGATTGTAGCCAAATAATCTTTTTCAAAGTGAATGTTGTTGTAGTGGTTTACGGACAAGTCCCAAAATAACGCTCTGTTGTTCAGTCCTACTGCTAAATGCATTGGACCTACCGCTAGTATCGCCGGTTCTATTATGGTGTTAATTATCTGCGGACTTGGTTTGTCCTAAAAACAAATAAAATAAAATAAAACTAAGACTTAGCACGCGCGAAAAAATCCGATGCCAAATTGTTTTAAATAAAGTACCTTGTCCAGTGTGTAAAAATGTACGGCAACTTCCATCAGACTTGTCAGCAGGGCTATCCTGTTGCCACAGGCGCTGGTTAATTTAGGAATTTCTATCAAATAAATCAAAATGTTTCCAATGTAAGTGACAACCGCCAACATCGTTCCGTCTGTTGACCATTCAATGTTACTGATCCCATTCTCGCCGTTCACCGTGATCAACGTTTCCGTTTCTTCGAGATTCTGCAAACTGTGTACTTTTATCGTATTGTCACCGCAAGTGGCCATTTTTCCAACCACTTGACTCAGCGCGATATCCGTCAACGAATCTCTGTGATTTTTGATTTGAAACAATTCCTGACCGACTTCTTTGATGTGTGTCGATATCGCGATGAAGAAACCAGCCTCAAATCCTACCAGTATGTAACCATCGCCATACCTGTAAAGAAAATAAAAATATATGTGCGTTGCGCATGAGAAACAATTTTTTCTATAAGTTCTTCTGCAGACTTACCACTTGTAAGTTACAATCAGTCCGTAACGTTTCTGAAAAGCCAATTCAATGGGATTTTCTGGATCCAATATGTTGTATAAGAACAGAGTTGTTTTGCTGACAACAAGGGACACCTAAGTAACATATTCACACACGTAAAGATCACAAATTCACACCAACATTTGTTATCATTAATTTTATTTTCATAATAAAGTCGTATTCTTACTGTATTTTCACCGCCTATCCTATGATCCATTTTCATCTCACTGAATTGTATATCGGACGGATCACCCTGAAGACTTATTTCTCGGCGAGTGTCTCCCTCACTTGTGCTGATGGTTAAAACTTTATCCTCGCTTGCCAAAGCAAGAAGACCGTCTATCGACCACGCACCGCATAGAATACGCCTTCTGTGTTTCCCCAAAATTGGTATTCTCCTACAAATTTCACAATTACAAGATCAATTGATTTGATCACAGTTTCTTTAATATAAATTTTGTTCTTACATAAAGATAATAATACTGTACCTGGCATTTATGTGATCATAAAGCACCAAATTGCCCTTTTCTGTTCCTATTGCCAACACACAGCTCTTCTTTGCCCACATCATACAAGTCAGTCCATCTCTCACACCTGCATCTATCTGAGACTTCTTTCCTGTTGTTGCATCCCACAGTACGATTATTGAGGAATTCTGAGATATCACTGCCAGCAGATCTCCGTCAGAATCCCAACCAAAGCCATTACACAGTCCGGAAATTTGTATTCGTTCTTGAATATCTCCTTGTCTGTCAAAAATGGCAACTGTGGAATCACAACCTGTTGTGGCTAAGTGTGTACTATTTCCCGGACGCCAGGAAATGTATACACTACCGGCACTGTGGGGCTGGTCTAACCGATAAAGAACCTGTCATTGAACAAAAAATTGTGAACATTTTTGTCGCGCAATAACAGAAGAGACACAATTGATATCATAAATTTATCGATCGAAACGAACGAAAAAACATGTTCTCTGTGTTCAAACAATATTGACGATGACATTTTTATTAAACAATTTCGTGACAAAAACACAAACTGTCACAAATGACACATAACCTACCTTCTCCGACGACATCGTCACGCGGAGAATTCGCGGTTCGGACGAACAAATTTGTCAACCTTTACATTTAAACGACATGCCTGTATGGATGTACATACTTTACGATGTACATAGCTGAAATATTGATTTATCAAACCGTGTTATTCTCTTGTAATGACGTGCACCGCACATCGGCCATGTTGTTTACCGCGTCAATTTGCGGGATATCTCACGTCAAACGCCGGTAACTAGAGCATTATGGAAATCAACCAATCGTAGACGCTCTCGTAACTTATTTGAGAGGATACTGATTGGTCGATTTTGTCCCGACACACAAACACACACACACAAGTTCTGCGAGAAGCGCATGAAACACAGCTACATCGATAATGACGCAAACTCATTAATTAATAGATCAACTTTTAAAAATCGATATTATTGACGAAATATATAAATCTTTGAGAGAAAGACAAAGGGAAAGGTTATAGAAGATATACTATTTTTACTCAGCTCCATAGAAAGTTACAATAATATCAAAATATCAAACGTGAAGAACAGTAATGGGTGATACTCTGCTCCAAATACACACACACACACATTTCCCTTGTTATGTAAAATTATTATTGTAGCATGTGTGTAATGCACTTCTATCAGACTTCTAAAACGGAACATCACAGTTTATAAAAGAACTAAGTACCTAATACATCTCTCTTGCCGATTTCGTAACTCACATTCTTGTTTTTTTTTTTTTTTTCAATTTTTTTTCATTTTTTTTTCAACATCAATTACGTATATTTTCACACAAATGTATTTTTAACAATTGTAAGTAAAAATAAAATGCTGACAGTTTGTGTTAACCGAGGTGCGAATTATCCTCCGAACTTACAGCTACGTTTACTTCTATACATTATCTTATTCAAAAAAAATAAAAAACATTCAAAATCACTAAATAGATTTTGAAAAAATATCTACGGCGAAGCCTTCGGTTTCAGTTCGTCGTAACACGACCTCAGGAAGATCTGGTTTTTCTTCGTCGGATTGTAATACTCGTGACCCTGAGAGAAACATTCGAATCTTGTTAACGATCACATATTAACGACCTTGACAATTAATGTGCTAATAACAAAGGTAACGACAATATTACCTTGGACCAATCGTATGACACGGCGTACGCAAATATTTGTCCGTTATGATTGAAACAGCAACGTGTGATGGGTTGTTCCATCGTCTCGGAAGATTTCAATTTTGTGCGCGCATCCTTGTCCCAAAATCCAAACGTGCCGTCCCCGCCCACGGTCGCTACGGTGCCGTGCACCGGGTGAAATGCTATATCGTTAACCTGTTTTTTTTTTTTTAAATGAAAACATAAATTATCAACAGTTACAAGGCCATAGTTTTTTAAAATAATAGAATTTCTTTGTACCGCATATATATCCTGATATCCGTTAGGCGTGCCGTTAGTTCTGTGACATTTGAACGTGAAATTTTCTTTAGGACTAAGATTCAAGTGATGAATCGCAACGCGTCCCTCTGTGCTTCCAATCGCAAATCCCGTCGGCACTTTTTTCTTATCTCTGAAAATTGCCACACAACGATATTGATACTTGAGGCTCAGTTCCACAGACTTGAACTCTCGCGGGCTGCCCTCCAGCTGATAGACTATTAACGCGCGACCAGCTGTTCCTACCACCGCCATTGGGTAATCCTATGTTTTTTTTTTTGATAAACTGTTTTAATACATTTGAAAACAAGAAGGGCTATTGCATAAAAAACTATTCACATGTAAAATGCGATCTTACCACATCCGCGCAGTAACATCTCTCAGGTAAATTAATGGTCATTGCAGGTTTGGGACTGCGTAGATCCCAGAACTGCAAAGTAAAAAAAACATTTGTAAAATAATATAAAGAAATAATGAAACAAAGAAGAGTTACAAAATCTCAAACAGATATCAACCCTCAGTGTTTTATCCCAGGAACCAGTCATTAGACAGGAATATGTTGATGCTTTTATCCAGTGACATGTTTTAATGGGCGCATCATGTGCAGCTACTTGCACGCATTGATTCGAAGTCAGATCCCAGCACTTTGCTGTTTTGTCGCATCCAGCCATAAATACCTTGGTTCCATCCTAAGAGAAACACATTCACACGCGATTTTACACACAAAAATTTTGTGACAATCATTTAGAAGAGACAATAAACAAAAAAAAAATAAATAAATATTTACATCAATCCAGCACACGTCCAATACGGGTGCGGCCATGCTCTGCATCGACTTGGGTACCGTTTTGCCGGATTGCTCGACCTCCCAACAACGGACATTGCAGTCCCAGGAACCGGCGACGAGAAAATTCTGCTGCACAGAGGCCGGACTGAACGCAAGGCTGGAGATAGAGTCGTCGGGAGGAGAGACAACCTCGAAATCCTGCATGGGATTTGACGTATTTGACGATCCTGTCCGCAGCATGTTGTTCTGATTGAACATCTTCCAAGTGCTCGACACGGATTAATCTCCAAACGTTTTGTTCAACGCACGTCGGAAAATTACCCAGTTGCAAACTGGGAACGTAAGAGATCGACTTTTCGCGCGAATACAAAAATTTCTTTCCGAAACGTTTTCTCACCGAAACCGCGCGCAAACATGCGACATTTCGTTTCAACGCAAATTAAATGGGAGTTTATTTGAGTTTTCGCACGATTCTATAATATTGCGCTTAATTGCGTCAAAATTAATTCAAACATCAAAGATACGTACACACAGCGCGCAACAACGCTTCGGCCCCGTTCACAAGAACCGCCTGTTGCAAATCGGGTAGGTAGGATCGCGCGAAACCACTTCAATCGCGTCGATCGGACTTGCCAGCGCGATTCCGATATGCGAGCGGTCCGGGAACTCTGTTGTCGATTTGAATTTTCGTTAAATTAAGTAATTCCTAGCGAAAGCTCGAACCTAACCTAACCTAACCTCGAACCACTTCGGAGAATTCGACGCTCGAAAACCTCTCGTCGCTGTCCTGCGTTCCTGGCAACGAAGTCCGTAATTTTCTCCGCTCACAGAGAGAAACGAGATTTCTAGATGTTCAACGCCACCTATTTCGTACTCATACTCGTCCTAATACCGCGAAGTTGTCCGCCGAATCATTTCACCTCTTCGCTCTACTCCCCTGGTAACAAACCTAACCTCCTCTTGTCGCTTTCTGCGATCCCGCTACGAAAGTTGAAATTTATCCGCCGAGATTTTACCGACAGATATATATTTACCGGCATTTGCAGGTTAGGTAGGCCACCTACTTCAACTCATACGTTTCCCGACGCGACTGCATTATCGACCGAGAGTTCACCTCTCTCCTGGTGGAGAGCTCCTGCGACTTTCTGCGATCCTGATACAAAATATGCGATATACGCCCGAAAATGATCGCAAGCACGCGCTCAGCACGGGGGATTGTATTTTTTTCTCGGTCGACGCTCGCGTACGGATGGTCGCTTCGTAGTTTCCGAATCTACCGACGTGCGGCGCTGGAAGCGGCAGCTGAGATCTCGTCGTAGGGAAAAACACCGCAGTTTGGGGACGGCTTCCCTCCGCTATTGGACGACGAGTTGCGGCTGTCGGTGGTTAAAAAAAATCTATACTTCACGTGACACGTGCTGTAGACACTTCGAACACTGGCATTAAACACCGGAACGCAGTTACTGTATATACACATAGACGGGGGATTATCTCGTCATCACCGATGAGATGCGTCAGCGATTCGCGGTGCTAATTATCCACGCAAGCAGGTTTGTCCGTGTCGGCTGTTCGTCGTCGTCTCGAATTTCCCCGTTTAATCTCATCCCCGCGTCGATTATTCTCGAGACTCTAGAGCCATGTTTCCTGTGATGTTCGAGATGGAATTGTAGCTGAGCCGATTGTCACACGGAATGTAAACACACAATCCGTCTGTCTGTCACCGCCGTGTCAAAACTCCTGAGGAACTTCGATATTGGATCTTTATGTTGTGAGACGTGACAGATCATCGTCGTCGCGCGCTCTCGGCGCGACAATCATGAGTTGACATCGGTTGACGTCGTCGTCGTCGTCAGTCGTCGAACAAAAATAAATGCCGGAGCATGGACGTCGCCGAGGACGCCGAGGGCGCGTTGGATCCGCGCGTACAGGTAAAATTCTCTTTCCCCCGTGAGGAAAACTCGTTTTCTCACGTCGTTTTGTTTTTCGATCGAAAATTATCGGGTGCGCGTTTCATCCGAGACCTTTAGGTTATGCCCCGCGAGCGCGGTCGCAGTGCCTAACACGGCCTGGTACATTGTCCCATTTTGCTTTCACTTTCCGTCCTAAGCGAGGGGGAGCGAGTTGGGATTTAGATGTGCTCGATCATCAATGAATCAAGCGCATCTGTGTGCGGAGGCACGGATATCCTTGAAAAAGAGATTAGACTCTTTGTGGAGAATCAATCTAATTTAAAGCTTCTTTTGTTGTTGTGTGTGTGTGTGTGTGTTAGAAATGCATGATGTCTATTCTTTTTGTTTATATGATGTTGTAAAGTTAAAAACAAAGAAATGATAAATGAATAATATGTTTCTATGTCTCTTATCTATTTTTTGCATTGTGAAATTGTTGAAAAATTTGTGCATGAACTATAGAGAAAAGTAATGTTTAAATTGTAAGAGATTAAACTTTATCTTTTAGATTGAGTTGGAGAACTTGAACAATGCCACTGATAATATTAATAAGCTGGAGATTGAATTGGACGTAAGATATTTGACAATTGCGTATTTACAATAATTTACAAATTTAAGCACAGTGAAAAAAAATTGTATAAATGATTTCAATTGAATTTTAGGAAGCTCACACTGCTTTTGGACAGCTGTTAACGGATACACCAAGAAGATTGAAAGAGATTACAGATAAACTGGGCACAGCTTGCATTGAGAAAGCGAGATGTTATTACGAAGCATTGGAAGTGGCTCGTCAAACTCAGGTAGAAATTGATTCAAGCTCAATTTCTTATCGTATTGGGAAAATAAAAGTAAAAAATATTTATAGAAAAATATCATTTGAACGTGATATATATTTTGTACGATGGACTTTTATCTTTTGAATTATTTAATTTCACTCACAAAAATCAATACTCTTACAGGTGCAGTGTCAGCAACAGGCACAACTATTTCAAAGAGCCAGTGAGATTCATGCGGCTGCGAAAGAAACAGTCGCTCTGGCAGAAGCGCGATTTATGTCTCATCAGCATGAGTGGAATTTCGACCAAGCGTGGCAGGATATGCTCAATCATGCCACTATTAAAGTAAGCATCAGAGTAGAACGGTAGCGTATAGTAACGGGCGTTACGGATTCAATGACAACTCTCTCTCTCTTCCAAATTTATTGCGAGAAATGAAAAAAATATATATATATACTCGAAAGTTTTTTTGAGCTCAAATAATAGCGTTCCGAGTTGATTCAATTAAACAAAACAAACAAAAACATTGAAATAAAATGAGATATTTTACATCAAGGTCATGGACGCGGAAAATCAAAAAGCCGAATGCGGTCGAGAGCATCATCGCAGAGCAATGTTGTTTCACGACGCGGAAAAGAGACTCTTGCAATTGGAGGAGAAGCACAGACGTGCGATAATAAAAGCAAGGCCGTATTTCGAGGTGAAGGCCCAGTGCGATCAGATGCTGGAAACGCAAAAGGAAAGAGTGGAGTATCTACAGCAAACCATTAAGGAAACGAAACGCAATTACGCAATGAGTCTTCGGACATTAGAGGAGATTAGTAATCAGATACATCAGCAGCGAAGAGATTATGGTAATACGAAATACTTAGAAGCGCTTGAGGAAAGTTTTAGTCGATGTTTTTTTTTGCTGGATGAATAAACCGATTTGCATTTTTTTTTTTTCAGACATCGTGGCCAACGGACCGCGAGAACCTGGCGTCGGTGCCGAGCTCATCGGTTCCGACATATATCAGAAATATAAAAACCATCTTCGTAGTCCCGACAGTCTCAAAATGTGCTCCAATAGATGTGCCGAGAGCAGGATAGACGAGAAATTGCGCGATATCGAAGTTGGTAAAAATTTGCAGAAGCCCGGTTCGGCGAAAGAAGACGCGGAACACCTCGAGAAGAGATCCGTCGACGGCAGCGAAAGCAAATGCACGCAGTGGGAACTGGAGTTACAAGCCAGTATGGAGAAATTAAATTGCTCGTCGATCGAGAACTCGTTGTACGTCAAAGAGCAAGACGAAGTGCCAAGTTCTTCATCTGATCCGCGAGATCCCGACGTCGGAACGCGCTACAACCTCCTACCTGCAGAGCTATCTGAGCCACATAGTTCAAATCGATCTTCATCATCGACCAAAGAGCCGGAAACGTTTTTCGGCAGACCGTTGCAGAGATCGTGTTCGACGCAGAATTCGACACTGCGCGGAACAACCATCACCACAAAGAGCGATATCTCAAAATCATTGAACAATAGTCCGATAAATAGGAATTTATTTAATTTAAAAAGTGGAAATGTCACGAAGAAAACGGGAAGCGCGGATGCATCGAAGTACGTGCCAAACGGTATTTCTCAATTTTATATTCAAAATGGAAACGCGCAGAACGAGAAGGATGACGATAAGCGACGACCCGCGAGCTCGCAAGACGACGGGACGGTGTCGTTGCGATCCAACTCTGCGATTGTCTCGCGACAGAGCGCATCGTGCAGCGTTGGATCCAGTCCGGCGAAACTGATGCCGACCGCAGACGGCGGTGAACGAGAAACCGGTCCGGGAAACCGGGCGAACGTCAACAGTATTAAAGAGTTACCGTTGCTGTCGCTCTTCGGATCGACGTCGGCGTTATCGACGTTGATTAAAGGCAAGAGTTGCAGCATGATCGACTTGGACGGTAAGCCAAGCCTTAGGACGTTGCTGGACAAATCTCGTCTGGGCAACATCAGGGCGGTGAGCATGGAGAGACTGGCGAATGTCAGACACAACGTGATCAACAATTATGTAGAGACCAAGACGAACGACGTTACGTCAAATGAATAATGATGTAGAATAATAATAATAATAATAATAACATAGGCAACTATCGATTACTTGTGATAAACAACTTGAGTGTTTACCTACGCGTTGAGTTAGTAGAGAATTGTGTCGAGGAAGCTCAAATTCTATCGAGAGAACATTTTTTTTTTTTTAGCGATAGCGCTTTAATTTAAATGATACGCTAAGACATTCTTGTATATCTTCTTGTTAACAATTTTGGAAACAATTTTTAGCAACGCTGCCAGTTAATGTGTTGCTACGTTAATTGCGTGTAAACCTTCGCAAATCGAGAATCCTCGATGAGGATGGACTCGTTCGGTTCATCTCGAACGACAATGTTCGCGATGAGAATCAGAAAAAAAAACGATCGTCCAACCTGTCATCCGGAATGACTGAGCGAGTATCGAGGAGTCTTTAATTATTATTTATTAATGCATTCGCTTGTAAATAAACGTTGAAAGTTCAAGTTTATGCGATCGTCGTCGACGCAATCGCGTACGTGTGAATTACATAATTAAACACACACAAGTCGACGCGAATTCACTATTTCCAGACACTTGTTCTCGAAGAAAAAAAAACTGACTAGACGATGTAAGCGTCATATCTCGTTTACTATTTTCTAATCTTTTATATATATATATATGTATATATATATATATGTATATGTGCTTTTTTTAAATAAAAAAAAAAAAAAAAAAAAAAAAAAAAAAAAAAAAAAAAAAAAAAAAAAAAAAAAAAAAAAAGAACGTTCGTGACAAGCAGTCATTCGCACTAGTGCGGTAATGAGTTTAACGTGAAAAAAAGCGATGCGTAACTTCTTCCGTCGCGAAATTGTCTTGCGCGAACGAAAGTTTTAACATTTGAAAAAAAAAAAAAGCGACGTGTGACGTTAAATCGTGTGAAATTGTTGTTGTCGTGCGAGCGAAAAAAAAGTGTGAGGAAAACAGAGACTTTTTGTAACCTTTTGTAATTATCGTGCGGGGTTTTGCTTTCTTTGATCTATATATTCGTATGCTACACAATTGTGTGCATCACAGAGATAATAGATATGTGTGTGTGTGTCGGACGTAATATTCCACAGATAAATATAACGACTGTACCGCAGGGCGTTGATATCTTTACACATAAAGTTGCGCTTTTCATTATTAGGATATTGAGACAATTGTCGATACACAACTTCATGCGCGGAGGCGTCCCTGCCTCCGAGGAGTTCTGTTGCAAAAGTTGAAGGTCAATGACTTCGTATCGCGTCTCGATAAAAAGAAACGTGTTTCTATTTAAATCGGGAGATTGCGACGAACGATCGGGAGAGAGTTTCTGTGAGAAAAAAAAAAAAAAAAAAAAAAAAACTAATTACGAAACGAACGGGGGTCATCGAATTATTTTGCAACGATATTGCGCTAACATCACCGCGTTCCTTTTGTTGTTCCGAGAAACGTCAAAATGGCCTCGTATTTTTTCATTTAAATAACCGCACACATCGAGCATCTTCCGGTACTGAACCAATCTGTAAAATTCTCTTTAACTAAATCACAGCGGAATCGAGAACTCTCGTCACGCTGGACTCGACGCGGTCGATCGGAATAACACTCGCGTCACTCGAGTCCCCTCAAAAATATATTGAAAAAAAAAAAAACAAAAAGAGAAAAAACCACGTCGGTCTGGTGTCGCTCACCTCTCAATTCTGCGGAGAGATAATCGCGAAAGAAGGAAAAAAACGTGTCTCTCTGACGCGGGTAAGCTCTCTCTCTCTCTCTCTCTCCCGTCTCTTCAGTAAACATTATCTTCTTTAAGTGGCACATATTAACGTTTAATGACAGATTGTTTTATTTGTCAATGTTCGAATTATCATTAATTCTGATAGCGCATAAAATCGGTCTGTCTGAAAGTAACAATTTTGTCGTCAAAAATAAAACGCGGCGGCAATTGCGTGCCGTCGGCAAATTTTTTTCCACACTTTGCCGGATGGAAAAAAAAACGCATAAACGTTTGTGTGTCGTAAAAACGAAGTTTCTTTTTTTTTTTTTGTGCCGCAGACACAACTCGACTATCAGACACCGGAATTTGCATTAAATATAATTACGAGGATAAATACAGCGTCTCGCTCGTGACGAAGATCGGCCGATCGGCGGCGACGCGCGTCATCGGCGAAAGGTTATCGGTACGCGAGACCGATAAGAGACGCTCTGTGTGCCGACAAACCCGGCCGAGATGCTTCACGAAGAAACGGATAACGAGAGGCTCGATTGTACGGTCCCCAAAGCTGACGTCCGCGCGATAAACAATCATCGTCGCAAGGCATGTGTTGCTATCTTTTACACACGAGACTACGCGGAACGACAAAGCACGCAGAAAACGTCTCTCGCCTGGGATTTGTACGATAAGAACAAATCGGAGAACAACAGCTCTTATTGTCTCGCAATTAAAATTGCTCATATGGATGGTTTCAATTATTATGTGAAAGATAGTTTCAATTATTTTAATGTCAATGCAATTTGACGTTGCACGTAAAAAGACACGACGTGTTTTAACACACGTGTGTTAGAGAACAATTTGTCTGTATTTCAATTTTTTTTTAATGACGCGACAGTTTTATAATTTTATTTTTTGAATAATTTTATTTTTTCCGTTTAATTGTATGTAAATTAAAAATAGTAGACGAGAAGAGAAACATGATGGGTTGCAGGAATTGAATTATCTCGATCGACAATTTTCGGACAGTGTTCGCAACATGGTGCAGAAGAGGAAAGAAATTTGCGCTGACGCGGAAAACGAGGACGACGAGGAGGAACGGGAAATTGACGGGGACCAAACCGAGAAAGAGGACGCGGAAGTAACACGGAGAACAGACGCGAACGGAGAGAGCGATGAACGGGAAGACCCGCAAATTGCGGAATGCGCGATTTGTCACGTTCACGTCGACGAAACCAATTTCGGAAGGACCGTCGTCGTCGATTCCGAACAGAACTCGCGCTGTCCCGAGCGGTATCCGGTGTGTCAACGTTGCCTGCGAAAGATCTCCGTTCAATCAGGTCAATGAAATCTCTCGGCCGACTTCTCTTCGTCGAGAACACAGAAGCGAAGTCGAATTTCTTATCGAAAGCGGATCGAATCGAACAAAGATATCAGCAACTGTCGAGTCTAACTCTACTTACTCTGTTTTTTTTTTTTTATTTTTTTTTTATTTATCTTTTCTTTCACCTGCCTTTTCACAGGCGCGCAGGAGCAGAGATCGCACGCGAGTTTCTCGGCCAGGAACAGAGACGACAGTTGCGACGGTCGCGCGCGTTCGAAGAGAATGCACGACTCGCACCCGATGTACCTGCAACTCCAATCTCGTTCGGTATTGGACGCGCGTCGCGACGTTCGTAGACACACGACGCTGTTCGCGCGAAAAAGCAGCGAGGCGATAGATTCGGACGCCGGCTCGCACGTGGCCGATCTATCGTGGCGGGAAGAGCAATCGGATAATTACAGAAGACAGTGCCAACAGCAGTACGGCCGTTGCAATCCGAGAAGATACGACGCAACGAACGGATGTAATTCCGAGATGAAGACGAAGAGTCACCTTCTGGCGTCCTCGGTCGAACACTCGCGCAAACCCATACGTTGTCCGCGTATGGACTGTTCGGTGAACGTAGCCTTCTCGGCGCTTACCCATCACTTCCTCTTCGATCATCCCGAGGTGCCTATTCTGAGCGTGGAACCCGGTGCCGAGAGCACGCTCATCGTCAGTTACGACGCTCTCTCTTGCAACTCCAGCCGGTGTCTGGCTCTTTTGCTGGTGTCCGGAAAGCTGTCGTTAGTATATAACGTAATCTATGTGAATGGAGGGAATGTTTGTTTAATACGATTGTGATAAAAAAAAAACGGAAGAAATTTTCTTCTCGCGTACTTTTCAAACTCCGCGACCCACAAGTCACTAATAGTAAAAATTTCTATCACAATAAGAGATTCCGCAGCAAGACTATTCGGCGGCAATCAGATAAATCCAAAGTATCGGAATCGGCTGCCTCTGCCGGTGCTGGCCGCGCGTTTGCACAATAATCGCGGCTACGCGTCTTGCGAGGAAATCCACGCTGGCGGTGAGGGCCAGTGCGAGAAAGACGTGATCGTCGCCTGGGTAGCGGGACTGGACGTCGGCGACACGAACGACAAACTTCGGTGCAGCATACAGGTAATAATCGCCGTAAATTTCGCCGTAAGAAAACACCGCACGACGATGATGTTTCATCGTCGATTAACGCGTTCAATCAGGCTGTGGACAACATCGAGAACGGAGGATTCCGATCGCTCACGTACACGGGACCGGTCATGTCTCTGAGAGCCACCCAGTGTCCGCGCGACGTCTTCCTGGCCGGCGACTGTATAGTTCTCCACGAGGGACTGATCAGCCACATCACTTCCGGCTGCACCAGTCTCAATGTAAATGTTATTGTACACTGAAAAAACCTGTCGCGCTACATATGGTTGTGTCCTTTAAGCTAGTAAGTACTATTGACAATGTGTGTCCAATATTATATAAATCGCGAGGAAACCGCAGTGTAAAACAAATGAGCGAAAACAAACAACCTGAGAATTAACATCGTATGTGAGAAAACGTTTATAATATATTTTGTGTATAAAAAGTGTGTATAAAAAGTACGTATAAATGAAGACAACGGTGATTCGCTTACGAATCATAAGCTAGTCATGGCAGGTGGTCGCGCGTACGCCTTAGGAATGAAACCGTACTTGCGGGTTTTGGGCGCGTAGGCCCAGAGCCAACCGTCCACCGTTTGATTTCCCAAATCCGCGTAGATCCAGTCCGCCCGTTTCACCGACAGATCGTCCGGCGCCTGCGCCTTGTAATCGTAAAGCACCACCAGTTCCGTGCCGGCCGTGTCGTCCCGGAAATCTCGCATCCCCTTCTGCTGCAGCGCGTCGCCTCCCGTACCCTTGCCTGCGAGATTAAGTAAAAAAAAAAAAAAAAGACGCGAAAAATATAAAGATGGAGTTCCGCAACAGAACAGATCAAACTTTTGTCGATTCGCGCGCTTTCTGATATTGTAATTTTTCCAAGACGGTTTCTGATATTGTAATTTTTCCAATTTAACGGTGTCAAATGAGAAAAATCAGAACCTGAACTGTGAATCTCCGCGGACACTGTATTCGTAGTGGCGGTTGTGGTGGTCGTGGTGGTCGTCGCGTAAGAGTGAAGAACGTGGCCCGGATAAACGAAACCGGACGGCACAAAACCCTCGTTACCGTCGCAGTGTCGCAATACCCAGAACCAATCCGGATCGTCGCGATTCAGCACCGTCACGAATTCGCCTCTCTCGACACTGACGTCGTTCTCATCTCGCGCTACGAATGTGTAAAGGACGATGTATCTTCCGGCCGATGGATCCTGTGGGATATAAAAAAAAAACCAAGGCGCTAAGTTTTGTATTGTTTTTGTAAAAAAAAAAAAGTCGCGATTTAAAAGCAACGCTCTTAAAAGATATTAAAAATATTTCACGACGTTGTTTTTTTTTTTTTTTCAGATATAGATATTCTCCGCGGCGCTCGAACCGCTCCTTCGAGCGATACCTTGAAGAAAGGATGCACATCCGGCTGAGACGATATGGTCTGTATAGAGTTCTGCGATTGCGTGATGTTGGACCGAGTCACGTCCGTGGTCGCGTTGTTATTTCGCGCGTAGCTCTCGCAATCCGACGCGGATCCGGTGTCGGTCTGCTGCATCTCCTGCAGACGACCCGCGCTAAGAAGATCGCAGTCGTTCTCGCTGGATCGGGGCAGTTTTTTCTTCACGTTATTCAAACTGGCCAGCGTCAATTCCGCCAGCTGCGACGTGTACGGCGTGCAATACGAGTGCGGCACGAAACCTTCCATACGCGTGTCCGCCGCTATCACATACACCCAGTCGTTTTCTCTATAAAGCACGTTCACTACCTGCAAGCACGCAAATGTCGCCGCTTTACATACGCAAAGATACAAAAATTTGTTCTCTAACGAAAAAGAAGATCCCGTCTCTTTTCTCTGTTCCTGTGGTGTTTCTCCACGAGGAAAAGAGACGAACAACGGAGCAAATTCTTTTTGTCACACGCGCGAATCGCTAACCTGGCCCCTTTTGACCTGAAGCTCGTCGTCCACGCAGGGAGTGAAGTCGTGCACGATGACCATTTTGCTGTCCGGAGAGAGTCCATTCTCCTTTTCGATGCCGACCCGCACGAGAGTCTCGATACTGGCGCTACCGGTGATCCGGCCAGGTGGCAGCGGTACCCTGGTGTTCTGGCCGAGTCCTGTGCTGCCGACGCAGTCCTTCTCCAAATTAAAGTTATGCGCTCCGGCTGATCGAGAATCAATTGCGATTTACTTGCGATTTTCGTGAACAAACAAAATCGACACGAAAGAGAGAAAGAGACAGAGAGAGAGAGAGAGAATTACGGAACGCGCAAAGTAATTTTTGAAATATAAAATAACGCGGCTCTTGTTATTTCTAAAGCAATTAAAAATTAACGAGACAGACAATTGAAAGATTTATATAAATTTGCTATGCGCGCGAGGGAGAGAGCAAAATTTCCGCATTTTTACGTGTAATAAATATACAATCAAAGTTGCGAGCGTCGCTCGAATCGGTCCAGATCGCTTCCCGGAGGTTTTTTAACTGGAAGCTGAATAACCGGTCCCGAGCAACAGGTGATCGAACCGACGGTGACATTTGGATGGCTCTCTCTCTCTCTTTCTCTCTATCTATCTCTTATCTATCTCCGTCTCTTTTTCTCTCGTTCTTCTCTCTCTCTCTCTCTCTCTCTCTCTCTCTCTCTCTCTCTTTCTCTCTCTCTTGTTCTGTGTCTTGCAAAATTGTTACGGTGCTTCCAACTGGATTTTCTTGCTTCCTCTTTCTTTTCTCACCGTAAATACCGTGTTTCTATCATACGTTTTTACTTACATTTCTTCTTCTTTCCGCGACGTATGCGCACGGGACACAGGAAGGCCATTTCTTGCCTTTCTGCGGTTCGTTCGCGCGACGCGCCGCCTGATTTTTCACATCTCCGACGACGGACGACCGCTCGCGTCCGCCCGTTGCGCGACGCAATCAGTAGATGAAATGATAAACGTGAAATGCGAGGAATGCGAAAGGGATCTCGTCTCGTCTATGCACGCGAAAATGAGAGATAGATTAGAGACGGGACAGCTGCGCGGAAAACAAGACACGCGACCGCCACTTGGAAATCGGAACACACGCGCGTCTCACGATAGCGAGCGGGTGAGTGTGTATATCCTCGACACAGGACGACCGCGATCGTGATTTAATCCTGGACACGGCAGGTAGAGAGCGCTACGGAATGACGCAAAAACCGACGCCGAGCTATCGCCGAAGACAGGCAGGTATCGTCTCAGGTCGGTCTCTCCTCTACAAGCAGGCAGACGGATCGGTTTCGTTTGTCTTCTTTTTTTTTTTTTTTTGAAAAGACTGGCAGATACTCCCAAAAAAATAAATTCTTTCCACTGCTCGAAAACTAACGGATTAACATGCAAAAAAACAATAATAATTAACATGCAATTGAGTAAACAAAGAGATAAAAATTATATTTTATATAAAAAAAACAATATTTTTTTTAACAGAGAAAGGTAATTTTTTTCATCGATTTTGTCACAACGATAGGAAACGAGCAAAATTATTTCAGCAATTATCGAGGCAATGAAAACTATTTTTCCTCGTTAAAACGACAAGAAGAACGTAATGTTCCAGGTGTAATCGCTTAAATTATCTTTCTCGTTTGGAAAATTTTCTACACGTGTTCTGAGCCCGCTATCTCTCGAACCGTGACACAACGCAACACAGGGATGAGATACAGATCTTTTTTGCTCGAAACTTCTGCTTTTATTGTATTTTAATTAATATATAAACGACGGTGGTATATTCGTTTCTTGCCTATATGTATATATAACAGAGCTCTCTTGACGCTTCGCTTAACAATTGCGGGTATTTACTTCTTCGTCATCATCTTTTTTTTTTTTTTTTCTTCACTGTGGAAAATAGTAATATCGTATATGTACAATTGCATCGCAAAGTGGTGCCGAATATAATTATCATTATTATATCATTTATAAGTCGTTAGATTGCGGATTGACTATTTAGGGTCAGAGGGGTGTGTTTATATCCTAACGTGTGTAACGTTAATTAATTTCGGTTAATTATATGCGAGAAGACCGCGACGAAAAAAATTGTTGCACACGCAAGTCTTTCCATATATGTATATGTATATGTATATATATATATATATCCGTGCGTATGCGCGTACACACGCGTGGATGCACACATATATGTAAAAAAAAACTCGACAAAACAACGAAAAAAGGATCGTCTTGCGTTGTTTTATTCATGCAAAAATAATTTGTCGTTAAAACAATCAACGATCGATGGGAGATTTTATTGCGTTCGTCTTGTATGCAAACAAGCGCACGCACGCACGCATAAACAAGTAATGAGACCTGGCGTGTACCGAGAGAGAGATAACATAAATGTATGTGGTGTTTGCTTTCGCACGGCGCGTGTAATTGGAGTCGCGGAGATTTTCTAACGAAGACTCGTCGTGTGATGTTTCTTCTTTGTGTGCGTGCGTGCGTGTGAAATAGATACAAAATCGCATTGGTACAAAATTGTCCTGTTTTTTTTCTTTTTTTTTTTTTTTTTTTTTAAATAATACACAGCGCAATTACACACACACGGCGAAGATGAGAACTTCGAAAGAAAAGAAACAAACAGGCCGCTCCTGCGAATGTTGTTCTCTCTATCTTGTAGCAAATCGGTGTGTGAATGTTGTTGTGTTGTTGTGTGCAGATATATATATATAACATATATATCTGTGTACAAATATATACATTCACATAAATATGCAAACATATATATGAAATACACACGCGCAATCTGAAGATGGATCCCGTGTAAGACGACACGCTTCGGAAAGGGAGCCGCCGCTCGTTGTAAGCTAATTATTAGTATCTTTTTTTCTTATTATGCCCTCGCGATTCTTACGAAACTACGTAAGGACGTCGAACACTTAAAGAGAAGGTCGATTAGAATCTCTCTTCGTTTTATTCTTCTTCTTCTCTCTCTTCCTCATGAGGTGGAAGAGGAGGAGGAGGAGGAGGAAGAGGAGGAGGAGGAGGAGGAAGAGGAGGAGGAGGAGGAGGAAGGTAGTTTAGAGGAAAATTTACAAATTCAAGAGAGAGAGAACGAGAGGTCAGACTTTGTACTTTCGTATTGCACTTTGTTTGTGTGTGTGTGTGTGTGTATATAAATGTTTTTTTTATATAATATGACACCGCTCTGGAGAGAGTTTTCAAGAATAAACGCAATCCGCGTGAGAGACTCTTTTGTTTTTTTTTTGTTTTTTTACTCTATAAATGTTCCGACACAGAGTTCGTAATAAACGCGAGACAACAAATGAAGAGGTACATAGAGAAAGGAAGAGAAAGAGAGAGAGAGAGAGAGAGCGTAACTCGTGTGAGAAAATAAACTGCTTCACACAAAGATATTGTGTGTTCAATTTCTTTCCCTTCTCGCGCGATTGCCGAACGACGAATTTGCAACCACATTATGCAACTTCGCGCTGTGCTAAAAACAAATTTAAACGAATATCTTCCGATAACAACTTTTCGGACACACCTCAAATGTGTCGTTCACACACCTCATCGAAAAACGACGAGCAAGAATCGTCCGGACGACGACGTCTTAAAAAGTGATTTTTTTTCTCTCTTTTTTTCTTTTTTTTTAACTAACGCTTCAAAAATTTTTCGCCTAAACAACGTTCTCAAAAAATCTCTAAAAAGTCTAAAAAGGAATGTCTAAAAAGATATCTAAACGGTGTCTCTCTTTTTGTTCAGAGGGAAGGAAGGGGATCGACACCGGGAAAAGGATGTATTCAAACAATATCTCCAAAATTTTTTTTGGGACGCCTAAAATAGTGTGTCCTATAAACCGCGACGTCTTGCACGCACGAAAACAAATATGTATCGCGTCCAAAATGATCGTAGCGCTGAAACAACAAATCGTCTCCGAGAACGTCAAAACGTAATAATATCGAAGGGGATTTGTTTTTCGAAATGAAATTTTCGAAGAAGACACTCGAGATGTTCTTTACACGCAACATGCATTCTCTCTCCGACGCGTTCCGAGAGCAGCTTACACTCGAATTAGCATAGACACGGGGTTTGTTCGGAACGTTCGGAAATTTTGAATCGTCACACATACACACACAAAGACTCTCTCTGTGTGTGTGTGTGTGCATCGCTCAAGAAGAAAAATTCACGCTAGCGGGATCTCCACCCGAGAGCACGCGACTTGAAACGCGATTTGTATCACCGCGAAATTTCCTCTCCTCGTGCACGCTGTACACAATAACGTTCGCACTATGCTGTATTCGTTTATTTGTTAGTTCGTTATCGTACAAACGCTCGATGCTATTTATATATATATACATATATATATATATATATGTATATATATATATATGTATACGCCTTATTATCTATTCAAATAGTTTTTCTTCCTCGACGGAGCGTGTGCGCGTGCATCTTCCACACATTTTTCCTGTCTTCTTTTTTTTTTTTGCGTCAAAATTAAATGACAATTGCGTGCGCATGAACGCGCGAGCGAATTTACACACACTCGGGGGACGATAATAGCATCGGTGATAAGACGCGCGCGCTTCATTTGCCGGACGAAATCGACCGATCGGACACACAAATATCGCAACGATTGCGGCCCGAGTGTGTTTCGAGAGATGAAACATCCAATTGAGAGAAAACGCACGCGTGTTAAAGGATAAACATGTCGAAAGACGAGAGCACGCACACGCGCACGAGGTCGTGTAATCTCAGCTACATATCCGCGTATTCGACAGTCAGACTAAACATCATAACAACAGAGATAATACCCGCTGTGTATGTAACGCATGAATAAAAATCGCTTCCGACTTTGGCTCTGCTCGTCTCGTCATTTATAAAATCGACAATGTTGCTCGTACTGAAAAAAAAAAAACACGCGATGTGTGTGTGTGTGTGTGTGTGGATTTATACATCAGAAACACACGTTTTGAATATCGCGCACGTAAATTGCACGTACGTGCGTGTATTTTTTTTATAATTTTTTTTACTTGAGATCAGACGTCGATGGATCGTCGTCTCTCTCTTCTTCTGAAATATAATTTGTCACATCTCTTAAAATTCTCTCTCTCTCTCACACACACACACACACACACATCATCGTGAGAATTAACATACATGAAAAATACACATCTTGAGTCGTGGCAGTTCGCGCAGATTTTCGCTTACGAAAACTGATTGACTTTGAAAATGTATTTTTTTTTAACCGAGCTGTATTACAATCATGTTTAGGTATCATTAAAACGAATTACATTCGTTTTGTTTTTTTTTTTTT